GCTGAACCCAAATTTAGCTCAAGTTCAGTACTATTTGGCTATAGCTGAGTGGAACATCTAAATGGTTCAATTTGGCTCAGCAAAATTACACCCCTAAAACTAAGATGTGGATAGGTCACATTTAGACTGCAGGAAACATTACTTTTGGAGGTTCCCCCTTGATACAATACGAGAACTCGAGAAGAACAGAAATATCAAAGAACATTTAAGCATATTACAAGAAACATTGACAAACCAAACAAGCAGCAGCCACAATGATGAATAGAGAGAGAGATGAGTCTTCAGTGATAACTAATTATCTAAACTCACAAAATGGTTAGTAAATGCCTGATTGTAGTAAAAGTGAACGTAATCAATTAGATGATCAGGGCAAAATACAGTGATGTGATTTGGCAAATTGATATACAAGGGCACTGAATCCACTCTCCTGTATAAATAGAATATAGTGGTGTCCAATTCAATAAATAACACTCGATAGTCTCTCTTATAAACGATAATACGTTTATATTGTGGACGTGTTCATGCATATGCATACAGCTAAATACATATAACAAGGTACGGAGTAATAATATAGATGGACATCCGCGTAAAGAGATAGAAAGGATTCGAGAGAAACCTCGCATTGGCGAGCGTTGCTGTGATTGAGCCACTGAAGAAGGCAATCCTGGTGGACATATTTAATACTGCCGCTGCACGCACAGGGATACCGGAGAGGGTTATCGGCGTCACCGGGGTTTCGACAGATCCGGCAAACGTCCTCCTCCTCTTCGTCGTCATCATACTTGAAAGCTGTACCAGTAGCGCCACTATTTTTATTCGCCGCGTCCGGCAGCATCGTTGAGGTGGAGGAAGATGCGGAAGAAGCGGTACCGGTAGTCCCCTTGATTGCATCGACCGAGAAGGAAGATGAGGAGGAGGAAGCGGCGGCGGTGGCAATCCCGCTTCCACCGTCGTTAGACGCTGGCGCCGCCGGTGCGATCTCCATAAGGACCTGGTGAGATTTCTCTCCTAGGGTTTTTTGAGGATCGGAATTTTAATCCAATGGAAATGACAGATTGTCGCTGGGGAAAGAACAACGGTTTTCTGGGTGGAGGATAGATCGGGGAACCACGTCTCCGCGAGGAAGATTACTTCTTTGTCCTCCGGGAGTCGGTCAGTGGATGCGCAAGTGGTTTTGACTATTAATTGTTTAAGGACGATACATCTCATGAAAAAATATAACAAAGGTAGGGATTGCATGTAGTCGGCAAGGAGTTGATAAATAACGTGTCAGATAATGATTGGTTATCCATTGTATTGAAGTGTACTTTTCTCATGGCATATGTTCTTCTCAAAAAATGTTGAATCCCGAACCCCGATGATCCCCACACCGGTCCCAACAGAACATATGGGAGGATGTAAATTCGATTTCTGGTCATTCTTTTCAAACTTTACTCCTATGACCAACTGAACTGCTCATGCAGACATATGTTAATTGGATGGAAAAAAAACACTCTTAACCAATACTCAAACTTAATTGGAACGGTTCAGTACGTACGGTAATTAATCTGAGCATGGTACATATTTAAATGTGTCTTCTATAGTTAGGACTTACGTATGACATTTCATAGCCTAACTAAAAAATATATAATTGGAAAAAAAAAATAACAATAACATGTAATGATTGAGTGCAACTAAGAGTCGATTGTTAAATGACTAGAAAAAGTTAAAGGCGAGAGGTCTTGAGGTATTGTGCTGAATGTTTTGAAGGCCTATGAACTAGAACTAAAACATTAATAAGAACTTAATGTTGAAATATTTGACACTCATTCGACCCGATGTGGATAGCGGATCCCGATGGCTCCTTTATCGGCCAGTGCACTATGCCTTTCACTGTCCAGTTTCAACCCTAGAGCTCAAGTTGATCAGATCCTTATCACGAATTGCTTCATACACCTAAGGACGAAACTCCTCTCCATATCCGTAGCTCTGTCCGGTCTCACAATAATTAAGCTTGTCAGAGATCGACGCCCGTATGTACCTATCGAGAAGGCGACCAACCACACCAGTGCATGAAGAACATGTGGTTAGCATGATGATCACCTCGCATGTGTTCCCTCTACACCCCTATAATTAGGACATTAAATATCTGATTAATAAGACTTTTGAACTTTTACTTAATATATATTAATTCGAGAACCTCTAATCCATTGCCACTAATTTCCAAGTTCACATATTGCAATCATTATGTAAATCTATTCGTATAACCTAGTGTATTCATTACACAGACACGATTAAATTTCGGTTCAAAAAGGTTGACCTATGTTTTAAAAGTTTAACTTGTTTCAATCTAGATTCTAGAATATATGAGTTCAATATTCTTCTCATGTGTTTCAAGCAATCAAGCTTTAAACGAAACTATAAAAGAGTAGCTAATTAAAGTGCCATTTGGGCTGGGTTTGCAAGCCCATGATAATAGGAAGATTGGATATGACATATGAGTCAAGTTTATAACATACCAAATATAATGAATGTGGCCATGTGGGCTATGACAGTTCCAGCCTTAAAAGCTAATAATAGTAACCATGTGTCCATGTTGTAAGTACTTAGTAGGAAAAATACATTTTTTTGCCTCTCAATTACTTAACTTTTAGAAATTATTTGCCCAAGTTAATTTAAACAAATTTAACTTATTAATTATTTATAAACAATTTTTCTATAAAGTTATTTTTGTTATTTAGAATCAATATCCATATTTAAAATTTTCATTCCCACAATATAAACGCCATTTTTAATAGTGAATATTAATTTTAAATGATAAAAAGAATCACATATGTTCTCTAGTTTCTTTATAAATTTGCTTATTGCTTCTCTAGTTTTTTTTTTCTTGTCTAACTACCAATTATTTTATCGACCAATCAACTGCACCGATATTGATTATTTGATTTATATGAAAATCCACAACCTCTATTGAATGTGTGTTATAAGTGAAGTTCGCCCACATGTGACCATAGTCAGCAAATTACCACAAATGAAGTCATCCAACATAGATTGCTCATAGATTATCGACTCTTTTTTGAAAACCAAAGACCAATTATGTTAGTGTTGAATAAGACATTAATAGTGATAAAATATCCTCTAATAAGTTTTAAGATAAATGCGACTTAAACCTTTTGCCGCATAAGAAGTTAATAACCATCACTGAGAGTTGCAGTAGATGGACAAGGAAAGATTGGGATTTTCGAAACCCACTCCTACCTAAGTAGGGGGCAGGACAACCCAGCCCGATAAACAAAGTCCATTTTATCGGCTCTATCAAACATACTTTTCAAAAGTAAACTCGTGTTGCAGACTCTCTTGCAAGCTTAGCGGTCCAACTGAAAAAAAAATATTAAAACAATATAAACTTGATTATTGATGGTATCGTTCATATATTAAATGAAATGAAGACATATCAAGTTAGTGTTGGGCTGAACTCATTTAGATTAAAAAAAAAAAAAAAAAAAAAAAAACTCCTCTTGTTCTTCTTTAAATATATATATTTAATTGTGAAATGCTCAACTAGTAAAAAAACAAACAAATATAAAGTGAGATACTCAAATAAATAAATAGAAACTATCCATTAAACATAAAATAAGATGGTGCTTTATAAAAGGAAAAAAGCAGGGAATGAAAAAAGAGACAAAATAAGAGTGCAGTATTAAATAGAGTCGGGCCCAAAATAGTGAGCATGCTTTCAATTTCAAGAACGGCGCGTACAATGGGCAGAGGTGCCAAATCCATGGAGCGTGGGCGTCACCACGCACTCACGCACCACGCACTCACGCAGGCATGCTGTGAGTCTGTGACGCTCTGGTCAATCATCGTCATCGTCAGAAGTATCAATTCTTTCTCCATAGACATTTCACCACGATTTCTCTCAACCTTTTGGCATTTTAGCCATTTTTTTACCGCCCTTTAGCGAAATGACACTGACCCACTGCTCTCCTGCTTTACGACTGTCGGTGGAATGACTAAATTTCCTGAGGATTTTATTTAAGACTCTCCATTCATTCTCGCCCTGAAACAGTATACAAAATTTTCTGGGTTGCAGCGACGCCGCCGGCATTATATTCGCCAAGGCGGCGGCTTCAATCTTCTCTGATAGTGATACTGAGTGGCTGCATGATTGCCACAGTGAGTATATTCGCACCTTTCTGTCTATTTTCTTTCTTATTGAGTATTTATTCAGCTGAAGTTGGTATTTTTTTTCACTGTTTTTTGGTTTGCTTTTAAAATGATCAGTTTGATTTCTTCCTTTTTTCATTGTAGTTTGATAGAACTTGCTCGTGATCATGATCAGTCTGTTACACTGTATATCTACTGTCTAATATCTTTCTCATTTCTGGGTGTTTTAGAAATCTGCTTATCTCTACTGAAATCAAGTCTGGTTTCACAGTGTAGCTAGTATTGGTAAAGGGTAGGGAGTGGGGAGTATGGGGATTGCGTACAAAAATTAGTAGTAAGCTGCATTAGCAAGGAGTGGGGAGCAGCTTATTTGCTTTCTTAGATTGAGGCATTGAGCCGGTCCTGTCAGTTATGGATAACTTATGCTGATTTATGTCTTTTGCCGGTTAGAGTCACCTGCGGGTTACCATCGTAATCCAAAAAAAAAAAGAAATCTTTTTCAACCAAAGTAGTTTTTTCGATAAGTTTTTGAGAAAGTCATTTTGCATGTAATACGCTATCTAACATCTAATTTACCAAACATCTTTCTACAATTAGATAATATTATCAACTAGTCAAACCTACTAATACAATCAGCTAACAGCTATTTACCAAACATTCCCAATATGTAATGTTTTCTGATATGTTCAGGTCATAAGCATAACATTATTTGTTAGATTATAAGTTTCACCTCAGCCAGTCTTGTCCAAGAAGTGGATGTCCTAGCAGAAGTGTGGGTAAACTTGGCTTAATAAGCTATAATTTGGATATTTGAGACCTTGACATTGTCATTGAATCATTGGAATGATCACGGACAACCCCGGTTTTGATATTTTACAGCAAACAGTAGACCATGGACCAGAAGAATTGGCTGTGGAGGAAAAAGTCCTCAGAGAAAAGAATAATTGCAAATGACAAAGCTGATCTTTCCGTTAAAGACAACGATGAGGAGGTACATATATCATGTTTTTACCTTACTCGAGCCTATCTGTGTAAAATGTTGTTGGCCTTTTGACATTTGACATGAAATTGTATCCAAAACCTCATAGATAGTTGATTATGATATGATTTTAACTGATACTCTTAAATGTCACTTCTTAAGATATGAGATTTGTCTTAGATTGAAGGAAGCTTTGTTGAATTTTTGGGTTCAGGTTCAGATCCTTCAGAATGAAAAGGAAAAAGTTCTGGAGGAATCGGTTAGAAGCCTCGATGAGAAGTTAGCATCTGCTCTCGATGAGTGCAACGCTAAAGATGAATTAGTCACAAAGTTCACAAAAATGGCGGAAGAAGCCATTGCAGGTCATAACTGCATTTCTTTGTTTATTCATGTTGTATTGATGATTCTTTCACTTTTTTTTTTTTTTCCGTTCGTTTCTGCAAAGTCCTTCCAACTAACTTTTGAGTAATTGATGCAAAATTTAGCTCACAAGAAAGCGGAGGCTGAAATTATGTGTTTGAAGGAAGAGTTAGAAGAATCTACAAAGCAGAGAGAGGCTGCAAATGGAAGGCTAACTCACCTCAACAGTGCATTGAAGGATTGTATGCAGAAATTAACTTTCACCAGAGAAGAAACGGATCAAAGAGTTTGTGATGCTGTAATGAGGACCTCAGAAGAGTTCGAGAAGGCCCATAATATGTTGGAGGACAAGTTGGTAGAAACAAATAAGAAGGTTACGAATTTAACCGTCGAGAATTCTCATCTTAGTAAGGTTCTCCTCGTGAAAGGAAAGATAATTGAGGATCTTACCGAAAGCAATTCTCAGGCAGAAGCAGAATTGAATGCTCTGATGTCAAGATTAGATTCTGCAGAAAAAGAAAATGCTTTTTTAAGGTACGAATTCCGGATGCTCGAGACAGAGCTTCATAACCGAAATGAGGAGATGGAGTTTATTCGCCGCTCTGCAGACACCTCACATAAGCAACAGCTAGAAAATGTGAAGAAAATCAAGAGGCTGGAAGCAGAAACTCAAAGGCTTCGTGTTCTGGTGAGAAAACGGATGCCTGGGCAAAGTCAGTCTGTTTTGACAAAATTGAAGAAAGAAATTGAATTGGAGGAAAGAAATCGGATTGAGACAAGGAGAAACACGAATCCCACCTACCTAGGAAACAACGATCCCGACATTCTCAGGAAAGAGATAAGTTTCTTGGTGGAAAATCTTTGCAATGTGGAAGAAGAAAACAAAAATTTGAAACTAGTTTTAGCACAGAAAGGACATTCTGGAATTGTGTTCCCTCTAACAGTTCCAAAATCAACTCAAGCTTGGGATCAACCCGAAGAGCTTTCTAGAGCTAAGGGTTCTAAAGAGCTCGCTGTTTATGGACCTATATCAAATGATATCTCCTCCATATCGAGCCATGAAATGAAGAAGGAGCATGAAAGTGTTTCTTCTGAATCTTGGGCTTGTGCTTTGATATCTGAACTAGAGCATTTCAAGAATCATAAGGACCAGAAGAGTAACTCTGAACAGAAAACGATTGGAGTTTCAGAGATGAGGCTAATGGATGATTTTGTCGAAATGGAAAAACTAGCAATAGTAGCAATGGATGCCCCACTCGGGAGTTCCCAAGCTTCTCCAGAAGTGACTCTTACATTATCAGATGAGCATGAGAATCATGTGGACTCGACAGGTAAAGAATTGGTTCAAGTAAAACAAGGAGATCTCGGTGACTTGGGCCAGGAAAAAGGGAAAGGCGACTGGATTGAACCTGTTCTGAAGGTAATCATTGAGCAAAGCAGTGTTTCAAAACGAGACTTTTATGAACTTCTAGAAGACGTCAGAGTGGCTTGGCATAACCTCAACTTTCCACACACCAGCGAAGGTAACAAGTCAGTAAGCTCAATGCAGCCTATTAGCGGCTATCTTGCTTGGAGGTCTCCAGTAACATCTCCAAAAGCAGATTCAATCAGCAGCCCTGTTATCAACTCATCTGTTTCAAAAATTGTTGAGCTGGTCACGAGATTTTCAGAGGGCTGTAATATGGTGGAGACAGAAACTCGGGAGCCAATAATAGCAAACGACTATTTGCTTCATGTTTTCAGGTGGAGAAATCCCGAGCTTAAAACTGTATTGCAGCAATTCCTGCATATATGCTGCAGTCTGCTGGATGGAAAAATTAATTTCGTAGAGTTTTCTGTGGGACTGACTGCCACATTGGATTGGATTATGAACAACTGTATGTGTTATCAAGGTTCTAGTATTAGAGACGAGTTTATAAAGCATTTTGGCCCAAGAGGATTAGGAACTGCAACTGATACAAGAGCCTTGCAAGATTTTATGTTTGAAATGGAGAAGATTCATTCCATTATTCAAGCAGAAAATGAAGGCTTGAAGGCTGAGTTGAATGTGTCAAGATCCTCACAGAAAGATCTCGAAGACAAGAACGAAGCCTTGGCAAGTGATCTTCAACAATCACAACGAAGCATTGAAAGTCTACACACTGAAATTGAAACTTTAAAAGAATCTAACAGAATGATGGAGGATATGATCGAGAATCAGAAGTCAATAAATGAAGACCTTGATACACAGCTTACCGTGAACAGAGTTAAATTGAACGAATCCCTCCTAAAGATGTCTTCGCTTGAGGTTGAACTTGAGGATAAAAGTCACTGTTTTGAAGACCTCGAAGGAACATGTCTTGAGCTCCAACTTCAACTCGAAAGGTATAATGATTTTCGGTATTTAATTTTGCGTGTTACCATTTGCTAGCATAAGTGAATCATTGTATCATCTAAGAACTGAATCTCTGATGGGCAGCATTAACAGCACCAAGATTCCAGATGAGAACATGGAAAAAGAACGACAGATACAGCAGACTGTGAGTTTCTTGTTTTGTTTAAGGTTGTCATGCATCGACTTCAGAATTGGTTAAGATAAATTTTTTTTTTTTTTTCAAATTGGCAGGGTTGGGAGATAACAGCTGCTTCTATGAAGTTGGCAGAGTGCCAAGAGACTATCCTAAACCTCGGGAGGCAGCTAAAGGCACTGACTTTATCGGAGGAAGAGCCAGTAGTTGTTGACAGACAATTATGTCCCTCCCCTTCCAACAATAAGGCTGTGAAGCACCATGTATCTCTACTTGATCAAATGCTATTTGAGGATGGAACTAAAAAGGGAACACTTAAATCTCCCACGAAAAAAGATGCCTTGAACATCCCCATCGCAGATACACTTTCTGTTGCCCAGCCTAACAGTTGCAATGCAATTTGCGCTTCCAAAGTCACACCTTCTGGATCATATCGTGGCTTGAATAACGGATCTAAAAATGCAAAACCGGGCACTTTGGTTATCTTGTCAGGCAGGAAGCAGGGAGGAGGGATGGGGTTTCTGAGAAAGCTATTGCTTAGGAAGAAGAAGAAAGGAAGCCACAAGAAAACGTCCTATTCCTTAGCAGTTTAAGGCTTGGCAACAAAGAAGGTTTTGACTCTCAATTTCATTGAGAGTGTACATAGTCTCCAATTTGGCATGTAATGTTTTCAGACGGCTTTAATAATTTGCCTTGTACAACTAGCAGTGCGTTTATGCATTATTGCTTTATATGTTTATAGTACCAAGTGGTCTTCGAGTGTGGTTTCTTCGTTAGATGCTTCTTTCAGTTTCGATGATAGATTTTTGCAGCTTCTTTCATTCCCTGCAAGGTCTGTTCAAAGCAACCGGCCAGGACTTTTGGATCAGGTATGATGTCTTTCGCGACCAAGATTTGCATGTCAATCTTCCCTGCATAGCTAACCATGTGCATTGTGATTGCCTGCATAATTTGTCAGGTGTGAGAGTTCCAGCAACAAGGAAAGAAGAAGAAGAAGAAGAGCGTGTTCTTGAGAGACTCACATGAGGTAAGCTTGTTGAAGTTACTCTAAGGTTATCAATGGGATTGCCTGCAATAGTGACCTGCTCTCGAGGGCCAATCACATTCGAGATTGTAAAGGTCGTGTTGCACACAATCCGGTAGCTAAGCGAGCTCGCAATCTACACACCAAAGCCAGAAAACAACACTTGAAAATGGCAGCCATTTGAGCATGTCAAGATATTGAGACTTCTGTTTTCTATTTTCCAGTTTCCGGAAATTTCCAGTTAGTAAACGACCCCTTAGTGTTCTGCTTAGTTTTAGTCTGGCATATTCTTTTGGCTTGCTTAGTTTTTGTATTTTCCTTGTTGTGAATAAACATCAAAGCTTACCGCTCTTACATCAAATTCACTCACATCGCAAAAAATGAAAAAACTTACCTTTGCCCCTAAGGAGGACATGACCAAATCCCCCAGTTTGTAAGAGCAGAGGGCTTCTAATGACAGTTTCTTCTTGTCAATCATTGCTTTTGCCCTCTTCACAAACTGGAGAGGATCCTTCACACCCTTGTGATAATTTATAGGTAACAGAATGATACCAAATTTGTTTCCCCACCGCGATCCCGACTCGCCATTCATCAGTTTGGTCATTTCCTGAGCATAAACACACCAAACATTCACTTCAAAGTTTACAATACTTAAGTCTTGAGAGTGGAGAAGATTGGAAAGGGCATATATACTTGCAGTCCAGCTTGTGGTCTTAGATTTACCATGGCAACACCAGTTATGCTCAGACCTTCCTGCAGAGCTACAAGGAATATTTGTTGTTTTTTTTGGGAAAAAAATATTTGATTTTATAGAGCCATTATTAATCTATTTATGTGTTAATATACAAGAGATCTTGCATGGTTTTACCTCGGGACGAACGCATTTCCAGGTACCTGGACATCCCACATGATATGATTCCGAACAGAACATCGTTAATGGTCTGGACCATTGGTTCACCAAAATTAATGTTGGGATGAGCCCATATAAAAACATAAGTCTCAATCAAAGTTATATCTCTAATTTATGTTCATATTTTTAGTGCTAAATCATTTTGTACATTGTATTTTTAAAGTTGTACTATATAATTTTTTGAACAAAAATCTTTCTATTGTTATAACTTTCATTATCTTTTTTATTATATTTAAAGATGTTTGAGCCTATTGAGCCGAGCCGATTCCTTAATGTATATTCATGCGTGTTATTTATTTTCTATGCACGATGTGCAAAAATATAAGTTCAATATTTATATTTTTAAAAAATAATTAACAAATCATTACTAATTAAAATCTATATGAAATTAATTTTATTTATTATATTAATCTAATATATAATGTCTACAAATATTATTATCATTTAAGAAATATAAGAAAATATATGATGGATGCATGTGCAAGGTAACAATAATGAAAAGAATAACAGAAGTTATAACGATGAGGATATTTTGGTTCAAAAATTTATATCGTACAACTCTAAAAATGCGTACAAAGTGATTAGCACTATGTTTTTAGATTTTAGATAATGAATATTTGAGTGGAAGTTATAAATATAAAATATTATAAATTTCACAATGAAATTTTATTTTTAAAATTAGTAAATATTTTATGTAAATTACAGTAAGGAGAGGAATTGTATCCAACGGGTAAGAAGAATCTTACAGCATCAGGGACCGCTCTTTTGACCGTCTTGATGTCCTCAAGGATGAAGGTGGCGCTGGCCAACTTCCGGGGCCAAAGCTCCACCCCAGCTCCGCCGCTCAACGCCGTCCGCTTATCCTTCAGCCACAGGATCCTAAGCACAAACTTCAAAACATACACCGTCGTGTACCATAGTACCTTAAAAAACCTCATAATGCTCCAACTCCGTTTCCCTCTCCGGCGATAATCCGACGAAGTTCCCAAACCGTCAATGAGCGGCGGCTGATCGGGATCATCCGCCCTCCGGCAACACGACAGGAACATGGACATGAGCGAAACCCCGTCGCCCAGCGAGTGGTGGAGGCGAAGGACGGCGCAGTTGTGAGCCATGAGGAGATGGAACTCCCAGAGCGGCTTATCGCTGGCGAGCGGCGAGGAGACGGCGAGGTCGGCGAGGAAGTCGTTGACGCAGTCCTCGTCGGAGACGGCGGGGTCATCGCTGAGGCGTCGGCGGTGCACGACGATGTGGTCGTCGACGTTGACATGAGCGACTCTACGCCACCGTTCACGGCCGCGAGCGTCTCTGATCATGACGCTAACGAACCTGGGGTGTTTCATCAGTATGGAGTTTGTTATCACTGTTTTAACGGCGTCAATGTCCACCGGATTCTTGCACGCCACCAGGCAGTTGATAACTTGGGTGGTCCCCGGCTGGGAGAACAGGCGGCTGCTCGGCGTCAGCGGTTCATCTCTCTCGAATCCACCATTCATATTTAGGTAGAAGAAATGAAGATCTGAGAAAGAGAAATGGATGAGTGCGTATTTGTATTGGTTAATGCTTCCTTTAACCAATGGTCCAATGCAGACTTGGAGTATTGGTTGTCCGGTGCGGTCAATGCACACTTCGAGTATTGGTTAATGCTTCCTTTAATCTTACAAGTACGGTGTTTCGTATGTACTGGTTACTCACCTGTATTGCATCTTTCAGTCTTTCCTTTTGTGTATAAAATCAACTGAGAAATGCGATCACGTGGTTATGTGTATGGCTTTTAACAAACCGAATATGAAGGAACAAGGTTTTTGGAGTCTTCATATTCATGGTTTTGAAAATCTGTTTGCAGGGACGGAGGTAAGTGTATGTTTAGGGGGGCCTTGGCCCCCCTCCCCCATCCCAAAATTTTTTAATATTATATATGTATTAAATTTTTTTAAAAAAATATTATATAGAATTTTAAAATTTTGTTGTTTTTTCAAAATATTTGGCCCCTCTCCACTTAATTAATCTTACAGGTAAAGTTATAAATTTTTTCATCTTCTCAACTTTTTCAGTTCTCTCCTATTTCAAATTATGTATTCCATATATTGTTGACTCACATTCAAATTAAATTTCATTTAACCTACTTACTAGTTTCTCTGCGTAGAACCATGCATATATGCGGCATATACGTTATAATAAGATAATTTGTCATTAACAAAATCTATGCATATTTTCAAGTTAATTTTTATTTTTTATTTTTATTTATAACTACTTGTTTGGTTAATTTTTGTTTCATATTCTATTGTTTATCTTAAATAATTGTTTTGTTTGATTCTAAATCATGGATATCAAGTGCATTTGTTTGATTAATTATGTAAATTTGTGGTTGTGTGATAAATTTTGTATTTAATTTAAAATGCATAATAATGTAACAATTGTGTAGTATATGTATTTGAGAAAACAATTGCTATTATGTTATGTTGTGAAGAAGGTTTTTCAAGAAATAATCAATAGTCTTTTAAAACATGCGTGAATGTTTTCATTCTTTCAACCGTACAATGCAAAGTAATGTGCATTGAAAAGCATATTGCAAAATAATTTAATATAGATTCAATTATAAATAATTTATTCTAAACTTTATTGAATTTGTAATGTAATGATTATTTTGAGATATGTTAACGAGATATCAATGTATTTAATTTAGTACTTCAATCGTAGTTCGGCCCCCCGCATTGTTCCGTCCTGGCTCCGTTCCTGTCTGTTTGTATTGATTTATTAAACATTCATTGATGCATGTTCGTTAACATGTTTGAACGTGTAAATTAACAAACATGTTCATTAATGTTTGCAAACACATTCAGAATTAATAACCAAACACATGAAAAACTCTTAAACAAAACTTATGAAACACTTGGACAAAACGTGAAAACAGAACTTGTGAAAATGGCTTTCAAAGATGATTTTTCTATTGACTTAAGTCATCTCCAACCCAAAATATCAATCAATTATGCACCAAATTTTACACCAAAATGAATATTTCCAACACCATTCATACACCAACTTTTATGTAATCTCCAATCTACTTAAACCAAATCCTATTCATACACTTAATTTTATTTACTTTAAATATTTTAATATAATCTAAAATATAGTTTTAAAATTTTAAAATAAATAATAATATTTTAAAATAGAATTTATTTTTATGCATTTTTATTTTTATTTATTTTATAGTCAATATTAATCTTATTTTAAATATCTCAATGAGATCTTTAAATCTTTATATAATTTATTTCTAATAATACAAAATTAAAAAAAAAAACAATTAGCAAAAAGATTTTAAAATGCTGTTTACACCAAAATGGATGCAAATCCATGGCATGTAAAGCATGACATTGCAAGTTCGCATCAATCATAGAACAAGCAAAACACTACAAACACAGCCTATCACTTCAATCAAGTTTGATTAAATCAGACATCAAAAAAACACAACAATGCAGCAACTGCAGAATAAGCCCTTTATGAGCAGATTGATTAGCTTGTGAAAGCAAGATAGTTCAACAATCAAGAACAAGCAAAAGCTTGCAACATCACTCTCACTGTATCAAGCTAGGATCCTCAGTGTTTCTAGTGAGGAGTCAAAAAATTATTGGCAATGGACAATAGAAAAAGCAAGCAAGCAAGGATTTGATAATCAAACAAGGATATGCAAACAACTGAAACACAAAACACACCTAGTAATATATACTTGTACACACCTGATAATACAGACTTGTATAAAGAAGACAAGGATGTTGGTTTTAAAAATGCATAATATCTAATAGCCAAGTTCAGCTGTGGGGGAGTTGGAAAAATTACTGCAAAAACTATTCAGTATAAAACAAAAGAGGCAAGCAAGCAATAATTTGATTATCAATCTGGGATATGTAAACAACTGAAACACAGCATAATACTAGCAATATAGACATGTATACTAGCAATGATTTTTGGTAAAAAGAAAACATGTAGTATCTAAAAGCCAAGCCGGGGGGAATCAGAACTTGGAATATCAGCCTGGATGAGCTGAAATCTTATATTCATGGTGGATGATACACTCTGAAGAAAGATGACATGAAAAATATGCACAACTGTGTATCACAGACAGACCACAAATCTTCAGAACAGACCTCCAACATAACATCATAAGAAACAACAGGGAAACTCAGGACAAAGCTCACATCATCAGTGTCCTTTGACTCCCTTCATATAGATAAAACACCCCAAACAACTACAGCCTATTCAAGCATTCAACACTATAAAATTTCCAGGAGTAGCCCACAGATTTTAAGGTTTCTTCGGGTAAAGAAACCCAAACAGAACTATCCACTGATTCATATATATATATAATATACACACACTGTATTAAAAGCTTTTAACTAAAGAAAGCTCAATACTGCAAAATTCAAACTTTCAAATAAGACATTTTAATATTTCTACCTCACGCAAAGCTCAAGGTCGATGAAAACCGTCTCATGTAGTCATTTCAGACAAGAGTAAACTAATACAGAGCATCAAAATACCGAATAATTAAACAAAAAACATGAAAATTCTGATAATAATAACCATAATACTTTCGGTATATAAAGCAGAACTGTGTTGAGCAATTAACGGTAGGACTTCTGGAACCTGGCACGAGCACCACGACCTCCGAACTTCTTTGGCTCGCAGCGCCTTGGATCAGCAACAAGCAAGGTCCTGTCGTAGCGAACGAGGATATCCTTGATCTCCTTCTTCGACTGCTCGTCCACGTACTTCTGGTAGAACGCGACGAGGGCCTTGGCAATGGACTGACGGATGGCGTAGATCTGAGAGGTGTGACCTCCGCCCTTGACGCGGATGCGCATGTCCACGCCGGCGAAACGGTGTCGGCCCAATAGGAGGATGGGCTCGAACGCCTTGTAGCGGAGAATCTCGGGCTGGATCAGCTCGATTGGAACGCCGTTGATCTTGATGAGTCCACGGCCGCGCTTGCAGTGAGTCACGGCAACCGCCGTCTTCTTACGACCGAAGCATTGAACTGATTCTACCGGTGCTGCCGCCATTCTGGTGGTTCTCCTCTGTCGCGGGGAATAGAGAAACCCTACTCTGCAACCTGCTAACCTGCGTACAGAAACTTCACGCTTCGCGCTAGGGTTTTTAGGAAGTTTAAGAGGTACCAGGTGGGCCAAATTTAAGCACTTATTGGGCTAGGCTTATTAGTCTTTGGGTAGGCCCATAATGTTCTGATTCTGATGCAACAATTTATTTGTGGTCCATTATTTGTATTGTGTCATAATAATGCACAAACTTATAAAATTTATACAACTCTAGTTAACTTAAAGAGAATATTGTAATCAACTCATTGCTAGTTGCAACTTGGGTTATAAGTGTCAAGGCAATTTTTTTTTTATAACATATGTTAATTGTTGTATAAATACACTTCATTTATACATATATAATAGTAATAAAAGTTCTAAAAATTTGGAAAATGGTCAAATAAACCCTTGAATTTTTACTCAAAAGGTCAATTAGACCCTTAAATATTCAAAAGTTACAATTAAACTCATAAACATATTATTTTGAAGCATTGAAGCCCAATACCCGATAACAAAACACTAGTGATCGTAACCGGCAATTTATATCCTACACCACGGCGCGCGTTGCACTATGCGCCCAGATGCAAAACGACGTCGTTTTAATTTTATTTTTTTATTTTTTTTGAAATTTCCCGCCCCAGTGAATGGCAGTAGTTTTTTCTTTAAAAAAAAACCCGTTGTTCAAGAATGTACATAATGTTATACTAGAATACACATAACTGTATACATGAATGTACATAATTATCTAACAAAATATACATACTCTTTTTAAAAGATAATACACATAATCTAACATAATACATAATAAACATAAACTTTTAACATAATACACATCAACTATTAACATAATACACACAAGTTTTCTGATTCGGATATACATAATTGTACAAGAAGAATGTACATAATTGTATAAAAAATGTACATAACTGTATGAACCAATACACATAACTGTATGAACAAATACAGATAACTGTGTGAACAAATACACATAGTCCCAGCAACTTCCTACCGCGCCTCCCAAAACGACCCCAAAACGACGTCGTTTTGGGAGGCGCGCGGCGCACAGTGCTATGTGCGCCGTGGTGTAGGGTATAACGATTGATCGTAACCGGTCGCGTTTGGTCTGTCTTCTCCAACAAAGGAGAAGGCAACGCCATGGGAGAAGTCGACCAAGTTGGTCTCATTTTTTTATGAAGGAAAAAGCATACCAAACACAACTGGTAACAGTCGTTGGTACTTTGTCGCAAGAAATTGGTTGGAGGTTTGTGTAGAATCCTAGTGACATGTAAATACAAGTCACCAACCGGTTTATGTGCTTCAACACTCCAAATTAACTTGTCTATGTGTTTAACTGCATCTTTTGAATGTTTAATGATCTAATTGACTTAAAATTCAGGAGTCTATTTGACACTCTTTTTCTAAAAATCGTTGTAGTTAACTATACACTAACACTTATTTTGCACAATAAACCCGAATCTAACTTGACCCATAGGCCATAGCGCGTTAATTTTTTAAGACTTACACCTAACCCGTTATCAATTATCACCCAAAAAATCCAATATAGACAAGATGGATTCAGATGAATATTTACGGACACATTGAAATTGTCTATCCCTAAGTTTAAGAGTTATATTAAGTATACTGTCAAATTTTACTCCTTCAAATTTACTTTACAATTACAATGTGATGGGAGTTAATAAGTTATTTTCTTCATGTGAATTTCTGTAAAAGTGTTTATATCAAAATTTTAAATTTAGAAGTAAAAGTTAGAATAGGAAATGGGAGTAAATATGGTAATTTCCTAACTAATTTAAAAGTAAAAGTTAGAATAGGAAATGGGAGTAAATATGGTAATTTCCTAACTTTAATTATGGTTTATGGCATGTTGAGTCAGGAACACAGGATAATTGACGCAGACTAAGAAACAAAACAAAACAAAAAAAGAAACCAAGCACGGATCAAGTTAACAAATACTCCGAATTTTTCTTGGGACTCCGTAGTCCGTTCTCTACGTATCTACGCCACCGTCCCCACTGCCCACTCACCGCACTCCCGTCTTCTCTCTAGAGAGGAGGTCGTCCATAGAGGCATCCTTGCTGTAGTCCACGCTATCCATCTTTGCCCCGCCGGCCTGCCGCTCCTCTGTTTTTTTCCGCCGGAACGAAAGCCGTTCATCCAAGCTGTGCGCCCAGGAAGTGAACTGGATTTTTGAGAAACCGAGACCGATCCTCTTCTCCAATAGCTCATCGGGTTTTTTCTCTTGACCCGTATCACTTATTTCGTTAATTGTCTGAAAAATCAGTTTGTGATCATTGTTTTCTGAAAGTAATTTAATGCTGTTCATCTTTAGTGGAGTAATATACAGCTGCTTATGTGATATGATCTCCAGTACTCAAAAGTTGTGGTCTTATAGTTTTAAATACCTTAGCGTTTTAGTTTTTAGGATCTGAGAATTCTATTACTGGTACAATACAAATTTGTTGCTGGATAATATCTAATTTTATTTTTTTAATTTAATAAAAAATTCTGCTTTGTATATAATGCAAATTTTGATTGGGTGATATCAAGGATTTGACTTTTCTTGGCCTGTTGAAGAAATCCTCGTTCCAGTTCCACTAGTTCATTTGATTATACTGAATTTTATAATATTCAAACTAAAGTGATATATGTCTATGCTGAGGAAGGGAGGAGTATTGATGTTTTGATCATAATAATTTTCTTGTGTGTGGTTTCTTGCTGGCAAAACATGTTCATAAAAGCTAAACTTATATGTTCTTTCTAATTATTCGGATTGTAGTTTGATATGGGTACTGATGTGATAGGAATGGAGGTTTACCAGAGTTTCTAGTTTCCTAATGTGCTATATTGTGAAGTCTTTTGTGTGTTTCATTTCATAAACAGTTGAAATCTTCAATTGGACTCATGGAAGCATATTTGATGAGGGTCGAGATGGAAGCCTTCTGATTCTCGTTTCTTGAAGAAATTCATCTGTAAAAGTAAGAAGTTGTTGCCTTTTATTTCCCTTCAATCTGGTTGGTCCCAATGCTTTCTAATCTATGTTGTGAATTCAGATTCCCAAGAGTCGCACTACAACTTAATGCTGTTAGGATATTAAGTGGTCCAGATGCAATGGGAAGAAGTAATTGAATTTTTTTTTTTTTTTTTCTGAAACTATTAATCTTATCCAGGGGTGTTTATCTAGTAACTGTTCTATAAACCACACAAATTCTTGAGATAACATGCCAGATCCAGTTGAGAATCAATTATCAAATCCAGGCATGAATGCTCCTAGTTTCAGTGATTGGGATCCAGGTGAGTCCAATTCATCTCGAAATGTACATAGCCATGTCCATGGGAGTAATTTGGAAGTAAGGCATGGTTGGTCTTCATCGTCAAGCAATTATGTTGTAGCTGATCCAATGTCTGAGGAACGAGAATTTGACTCTTCCAGTGGTCTCCTTCACGAGAACTGTAGCAATGTTTATGGTGGCAGTCACCCAATTGGCAGAACTATTACGCATCATTCTAGTTCTAATTGCAGCCATGGGAATGTTAGTTTAAGTGGTCCATATCACAATTTCAGTGGCCCACAGGTCACAAGAACATGTGCACCTCTTGGTCGTAATAAGGCAGTTGGATCAGAAACCGACCTTCTTCCTGCTTTTGCTTCTTCTGATAATGGAGGTACCTCTTCATACAATTCTGGTGATTTGATGGGAAACCATGATAATGATTCAGATTCTTCTTTGGGCACCTGGGGTTTTGCCTGCAAGCGGAAGGCCCTTGAAGTTAGCTCTGAAAAGTTGTGTGCAGGTGGAAGTTCGAGCTCCAATCCCCGAGCTGAGAACATTACACTGCACAATGTTCCTTCTCATTATAATGCTTCTAGCAGCTTAAATATATTTTTGCCCTCCAATGCTGGTGTCTCGGAACAAGCCAATTCAAGAAATGGAATTAGTAGAAGATTATCAGCTGGTGATGAATTCCCACCTTCAAGTGTTAACGGGATTGCAGAGAGCTCTACAAGAAACTTTCATGCAACCGAGAACATTGCAAATCCAGAATCAGTTTCATTTGGCTTACCACCAATTGGAGCTACTGTAGGGCCTTCTGATGCTATCACTACCAATGTGCCGCCCAGACATTTCTCTATAACTAGTTCTTCAGACTTGAGGCATCCATTATCACTAACAATGAATTCAAGTAACTCTGCAAATCAGCCTCCTTCAATGGCATCTACTAGTCCTCAAAGGAGTGCACGTTCGATTCCCTGGAATGGATCTCGTGATTCAAGAAGTGGCAATTGTGCAAGTTCTAGTTCACGTTCCGCAGAAAGTAGTGCTACAGTTCGAGATGAAACTAGCTTTAGAAGCTCCTTTAGAAATAATGGTGCGCGTGTTAGGTATTTCTCTGCTACTGAGACAAGAAATCTGGTACAGGATGCTGATAACTGGAATTCAGATATTCTAATCTCCTCTCAAAACCAACCTTCTGGTTCTGGAATTGGCCCCAGCTCTAGTTCACAGACATTTCCCACAACCTGGGATACTAATCAGAACCCAACTACTAGCACTAGCAGCCATCAAAGATTGTCAGATTATCCTTGGAGTTTTTCCCTACCTGCAGGATCTGATCCAGGAAGCCAGGATGGAGGTCATCTTTTACTGCCATCATGGGCGAGTACTTCCTCAGATGATCCATTTTCACCACTGCCCTGGGCTAGTACTTCGACAGAGGAGCCAGTGATGTCATCCAGACCCCGCAGGAGGGGTAATCGCCAACCATATCTTCGGTCAACTATGACATCAGAGGTTTCAGGTGACAATCATGGTCCATGGCGTGCATTAGCTTCTGATTTTGAGGGCAGACACAGAGTGGCATCTGAGGTTTGCTTTCAGTTTATGTTTTTTTTAAAAAAATTTATACTTCAAAGTTTTCTTTGGGTGCACGTATGCTCTTGGGAGGGATGTAAAACTGAATATTTTTAGATAGACATTCTGTTCTTCATAGATGCAAATATCACTCCGAATATAGGTTTCTATGCAACTTATATTTATTCAAAACATGGAGAGAAGTAACTAGAGAAAAGTATCTTATTCTCTCAAGATTCAGTCACAAATGACTTTTTTGTTTTCCCTCCAAATTGCAATACTTTTGACCTGTTAACAAATGCTATAAGTTTAAACCTAATTTTGCACCTTACTTTCAACTGTTATGGATCTTCTTGTGATTAGTCTTCTTGATCCTTATACTGAACTATTCTGATTTATTAAGTACTGCCTTTTGTTTTTGGAGCTAAATGTTAAACAATCTTGTAAATACTGATTTAATTTGTTGCCACCTGACTTCAACAGATTCGTGAAGTACTTAATGCTATGCGAAGATCTGAGAACTTCCAGCCTGAGGTTTTACTTTATTTTCTATTTTGAATCTAAATTAGTTTGAGCTTTCACTTGCTTACATTGGCCAACCATCACATTATGTGAGGTTGGCATCATTTGAAGTTGGAAACCGTTTTCACAATGCAATCATGGCAAATGAAAACCCGAGAGCTCAATTTTGCTGGAAGGTTTAGGATTACGTGTGATTTGATACTCACTTCTTGCATCATGTTAAACATTTAGTAATTATTTTTCAGGATTACACAGTGTTCAATCCGTTTATCAACGGGGTTGGTGACTCACACGATAGGCATAGAGAGATGAGGCTTGATGTGGTTAACATGTCTTATGAGGTGGAATACTACTATCCACTTACCATATCCCGAGTTTCTACCTCTGACATCTTCTTACTATAATGCCATCGTGTATCAGGAATTGCTGGCACTGGAAGAACGCATAGGGAATGTGAACACGGGATTGAGTGAGGCCACCATTCTGGGATCTATGAAACAGCGGAAATATGATTCTTTCTGTGGAGGATTATCATCCGACTTGGAGCCATGTTGTATATGTCGGGTGAGATTCATCTCTATGTTTCCCGCTAACATAACTCCATTGTCAATCAATCGGGGTTTCACTCATTCGATTCGTTCTTCTTTTCCAGGAGGAATATGTAACTGCAGATGACATTGGGATATTAGGGTGTGGACATGAGTTCCATACAGATTGCATTAAACAGTGGCTAATGCTCAAGAATCTATGTCCAATCTGCAAGACAACTGGCTTGGAAACCTGACATGCTGGCACTTCATTCTGAATTCATATACCTACCACCTCCCCAACCCCCCCCCCCCCCCAACCCACCCAAAAAAGAAAAGAAAAATGAAAAAAAAAAAAAAAATTCAAGTCTCATGTGGAGAAGACTGTCTATACTATGCATGCAGTCTGAAACATCTTTTCTTATTTCTCAAGGGATTGGAGAATGGGAAATAAACATTTGCTGGACTAATGTTTCCTATTAAACTGTTTAGCAGCAATAATTTTTTAGTTTTGATGATTCCTAAGTCTTCCTTTGTTTATTTATACCTATCTGTATGTGGATTGGTTGGTTTTACCGTCTCATATGAAACATATACTACATTTTAACAAAAATTTAATATTTTATTTCTAGAAAAAGTATTACATGTGTTATGTGACGGTTTCAAATAATCTTGTATGCATTTTTGTTTATTTGGATAGAATGTTTGGTAAAAGAAATAATTCATGTCACTTAACTTTTAGTTTTTTTTTTTTTTTTTTTTTTTTTTTTTTGTTTGTTTTAAAAAAAAATATTATTGTTTGTTCTATACTTTCTTTAAGTGTTGCAGTCCTAAGAGTTAATACCGCACCACCAGGATTCGATCATATGGCATTCCCTCAAGGGGAGCTATAGATGTGCCATCTAAGCACAAGGTGCTTGGCATTCTCCTTTTGGTCTTAGTATTATTAAAACACGATTAATTTTATTTTTCGTCAATAAACCATTTAAATGTCTTTAAAAAAATTCGATCTATTTAGTTTTAAGTGTTAATTTTTTTATTTAAATTTTATCGTCATAGATTTGTATGTGTTTTTTTTTTCAAAACAATTTAGTTGATTCTAGTATTATTATGACATAAGAGCATTCCCATCAATGATTTTTGGGTGATTTTTGAGAAGACCAATCATATGTGAAAGAGAGAAAAACACCAACTATGGAAAAAGCTTCTGATGATTTGCGTGAGCCGTGAGCGCAACCCATGCGTCCGGCGGACGCGTTATTTCCTTTCATTTTTTTTTTCTTGTCCCTATAAAAACTCCTAAAAAACACAACTATTGACAATGACTCAAATTTAGGGATGACAATTCTATCTGCACCTTATGAGTTCCCTGCATCCTCGCCCTTACGGGTTTTAAAATATCCGCACAATATAAGTAAAGGGTGCGGGTGTGGAGGATTTTGTATACCCGCGCGGCTGCGGGGGCAGGGGCGGGGGAGGTATCCCCGCCCTGCACTCGCACCCGCATTTATATACACACACTTTTGTTATCTAGTATTCATTTATTATATAAGTTTATGTATATTTTATAATTAAAAATGTATAATGAATTAAACTTCTTTATGAACTAGTGCCTTAGAGATTCAATTGAGTTATCATCTCATTGTATTAGTTTTTTTGTTTATGAAAATTGAATAGGAACAACACAAATAACATAATGAGTAAACATTTAATACAATTTATACTACCAACACAATTTTAGTTCCAATTAAGGACTAACTTCATTGGTTCTTATTAAATTTTATTATTATTATGTTCAAACATATAAATAAATCCATGTTATAAACTGATAATTAGAATTAAAGTGTATACTTTTTATTTGATTTAAGTGCAATATTAATAATTAGAGTTGTGTATTATTTACGCTCGCAAAATTCTCGCAGAATTAGGGATGGCAACGGGGCGGGGCGGGGACGGGGAGTATACTCCCCATCCCCGTCCCCGCGACCCCGACCCCATCCCCGTCCCCGTCCCCGTCCCCGCCACGGGGAATCCCCATCCCCGGTCAACCCAAAGTCAATGTGTGAAAGTAATGTAATTTTTTAAAATAAAAAACAAAAAAAATAAAATCCATAGTCAATATATTCTAATAATCTAATTAGTCCAATATATACACATTCAATATTCACAATGCATGCAATGTAATCAATATTGAATATATTCCAAATTTCAATTCATCCAATATATACATTTTTTTTTTTTGAATGTCATCCAATATATACATAGTGTTTGAATAGTTAAATAATATTGAGTGTGTTTTAAATTTTAATTTTAAAATCTAATAAAGTTAATTAACTAAATAACTAATAATCTAATTCCTAATTCCAAATATAATATATAATATATAATATATATTTTTTAATTTTCGGGAACGGGGCGGGGTATCCCGTCCCCGACGGGGAATTTAAAAAGTTCCCCGTCTCCGTCTTCAATCCCCGAAATTTTTCCCCGTCCCCAACAGGGACGAGACACATTGCCATCCCTACACAAAAACAAATATAAAATAAGAATTTCATTACCCGCATAGGTATAAATGCGAGTGCGAATAGTGGATTAAGAATGCGGGGCGGAGATATATCTCCGCACCCACGGCTGACGCGCCTCATTGCCATTCCTAGGTAGAATGCTCTAGTTTGTGAAATGTTTAAAATATGGTTTGTTTTCTAAAAAGTTCTAAAACATAGTACATTTTTGTAAGTTTTTCATAATAGGTGGGCCCACGTAGTTGCATGTACAGACGTTATGCCATGGAACCGTGTTCACCATTCATGGTGAACACGGTTCTAACGGTGTTAGTACACCGTTATCTTTTTCTTTTTTTTTTTTTAATTAATTGCGTGACTTTTCTTCTTTATTTTCACATTTTGCGGTTTCACTTTAATTTGAGGTGAACAAAGATTTCGGACATTCATAAATTATGAATTCATGCCTGCACATTCACTTTGGAACCATGCCTACACATTCCCGTCCGAAATCACGGACATTCATAAATTATGAATCCATGGCTGCACATTCACTTTGGAACCATGCCTACACATTCACTTTGGAACCATGAGATTATGAATTTTCTGTTATAAGATTATGAATTTTCTGTTATGAGATTATGAATTTTCAGTTATGAGATTATGAATTTTCTGTTATGCGATTATGAATTTTCTGTTATGAGATTATGAATTTTCATTACATTCATAATTTCGGACATTCATAAATTATGAATTCATGCCTGCACATTCACTTTGGAACCATGCCTACATATTCCCGTCCGAAATCACGGACATTCATAAATTATGAATCCATGCATGTACATTCACTTTGGAACCATGCCTACACATTCACTTTGGAACCATGAGATTATGAATTTTCTGTTATAAGATTATGAATTTTCTGTTATGAAATTATGAATTTTCAGTTGTGAGATTATGAATTTTCTGTTATGCGATTATGAATTTTCTGTTATGAGATTATGAATTTTCAAAAAATTCATAATCTCATAACAGAAAATTCATAATTTGATCAAACGCGCGCGTTAACTTCACATCCGCGAAATTTTTTTTGACCTAAAAACGACGTCGTTTTGCCTTGTGTTCACCATTCTCGGTGAACACGATTCCATGGCATAATTTGCGGTTGCATGTATGCCACGTAGATTAGTAGGAGGGAGTGGGCCCATTTTCGTTTGTATACGTCGTGGGGCCGATTGACAGATCAGAAGTTGGCAACGGGTGACCTGAAATTGTGAACAAAGGCTAACAAATTAGGATTTTTTATTTTTTTTTTGGTTTTTATTTTTAATATGGAGTAGTAATTATAATTATTAAATTAATATTCACTCAAACTAAAGCTCCAAATGAAGTATAATAACAATGATAATGGAAATGATCTTTTTTGGAAAAAGCACCATAGAGACACATGCTAAGACAGCTAAAAAAATTAATGTTAAAAGTTATTTATTTACGCGTAAAGATTAATAATGTGTTAATTTGCGTTGAGTATAATAATTTAAAAAGTTTGTATATATATATATATATATATATATATATATATATATATATATATATATATATATGATGTATTTGGTATGATCTGGATCGATATGATAGATTTCATCAAAATAACAAATTTATCTTTTAATCATCAATTATATTGTTATATTGTATCATTAATATTATCAGTTATATATTTAAATTTATATTAAAAAGCCTAACATATACTTTCATCGTTCAAGTCTCTTGTCTAACATGTAATTTTATCTTCCTTTTGTTATAAACTCTTTTAATAAAATGATAGAATTAAATGTTAACCATTTTTGTTAATAGTTGAATGACATAAATATAAACAAATGACTTAATTATTATAATATTGAAAAATAATGGAGTGTATTTCCCTTCTACTACTACTACTACTACTATTATTATTATTATTATTATTATTATTATTATTATTATTATTATTTAGCACAACGCACTAGTATTAATTTTTATTTTGCATTAAGACATTACTTCAATCCAGCTTTGATGGCTCATTCGGACAACTATTTTAAAGATGCTACTGTATATATAATAAATTCTTGACCCCTACTTAAAAAGATCATATATAATATTTAGACATTATTTGTAAATATAGGTTTGTGTGCATTTTGAAAAGATCAAATTAAAATAAAAATCTTCTTTAAAAAAAATATAAAAATCTTAAATTCATATTTGAATATGGTCATGTTTGGTAAAATATTAGCCTATCAGTCAATTTTGACTTATTTGACCATTATTAATTGTTTGATTTGGTTAACAAATTAACTTTAAAATGCTAAAATTCAAGAAGCTGCTCAAAACAGATTTTTCAACTAACTTTTTGAAAAAAAGAAATTATACTAAACAACTACCAGCTTACAACTAATTTACCAAACACCTTCCTACAATCAGCTAAAGTCATCAATTAGTTATACTCTTCAATTAACTCAATCAACTAACAACTATTGGCTAAGATGGCCTATATATGTTATTGAGTGCTAATATATACGAAAAGTACTAATGATTTAATTTATTATTTATTAAATTTAAAAAGTAGTATTAATGACGATTCCCATTCAATGTGGTCTAATTTGGTTCCATTTGAAGCTATAACAAAATTGATTGGACAATTAGCTTAGTCACAAAGTTTTAAGATCGATTCTTAGTGGGAACAACTTATTAATTTTTTTAATTTAAGTCGATCAATTATAGACTATTTAAACTCATTTATTTCTTTTTAATTTTTACATTCAGATAGTAATGACAAATTTTTTTATAAATAAATTAAAAGTAATATACATATATAGGGTAAAGACAACTGTTACTTCTTAATGATTGCACCTAAAACGTAACGCTCGCGATTTGTCCTTGCTGGTAATTATGTGTCACAAGATAAGAACTCATCCAAATGAGATACGTACAACATTACTCATCAATCATTAACCTCTGTAAAACAGGGCACTATTAAATTAACTAACTGTCAATTATTCATAAACTAATGATAATACCGACTTCCCTTAATAAAGGCTATCCTAAAACCCAATCATTAATCTTCGTAATCAAAGTTAAATTAAACCTCCTTTCAAAAAAAAAAAGTTAAATTAAACCTATAATATAGACTTGTTGAGAAAAGTAATAAACAATTAACTAATTGAAAACATAATACTGTAATAAAAATTAACTATAAATAATATTTAATAAGTTAAACTCCAAATATAAGGGTCATACATTGCTCATACCCTAGGGCATATGGATGAAATAAATTATGAAATATGATTCAACTACTTTATAAATTCCTAAATGATGATATACTAGTGGCTAAAATAAGGTCGAAGCATGCACTATGTAGTTGCTAATAAAATAACACTTTTGAAATTTATTATTTTTAATGGATGAAATAAATCATGGAATGTGATTCAACTAGTCTATTGATCCCTAAATGCTTGTACACTAGTGGCCAAAATAAGGTCGAATTATACACTACGTAGTTGCTAATAAAACAACAATTTTGAATTTTTATTTTTTTTAATGGGGTGTTTTTTTTAATGGGGTGTTTGGTTGGCATGAATTGCATTGGCATTGAATTGCAATTCAATGAAATGATAAACTACATTGAATTGCAATTCAATGAATTCATCCATACAATGAACAGGAAAAAGGAATGAAATGATATATTTGTCCCTAAATATCATCATACAAGGGTATTTTAGTCTTTATATCACTTCTCCCATTTCCATTATTCCTCCCTACCAAACAATGTAATTGTAATTCCTACTTTATTCTCACCTTATTCTTTTACTACCGAATTACAATTCCTTTCCGCCTTAATTCCTTCTTTCCAACCAAACGCCCTGTAAGAGTATTTGTATCAGTTTGGTTTTTGCACAACATTTTAGGAAGACATGTAGAAGAGAAAAAAAAGAAAGGAAAAAAAAATATATGACAACTAAGAAAAAGGGAAAGTAACGGTAAAAAAGATCAGCCGCTCGCTGGCGGTCACTATGACGCGTCCGCTGGGGTGCTAAGCACGCTCCTGCGCGTTTTTTTTTGCTTCTCTTGCAAAAAGCAAGGGCATTGTAGGAGAAGTCATAATAATCTATCTCCTCACCCTCTCTCCTTCACCTCAGTCATAATTCCTCAAAAACTACACCAAAATTTACTTATGGGCTTGCTCTAAGTTACTTTTACATTTATTTATCAAGTATTATTTTTGTCACATTTGATCAATACATAATTATCATTTTTATCACATTTAATATTTCTTGTCAAATTTTATAAAGAAATAACCATCACATTTTAAGTTCAAAATCATATCACCTTTAAACATAATTCATTATAATTAAAAGGCTCAAATGTGATAAAACAATGAAAACGCGGGAACATAATAAATTTTTATTTTTATCCCGCTTTTTCTCAAGTTTGAGCATGGATCTACGCGAGCAGCGGGACGGGACCCACATGGATGATACATTTTTTAGAATCATTTTTGAAGCTACCGTTTAATTGTTATGAGGGCAGTAACGGCAGTAATCATTCTAAATTGGTTTGTTGATATTTTTAGCGAAACAAAACTCCAAATTTCGTTTCCTTGCATAGGGAGAAAACTCCCCTATATATACACGCATATAAACACAGATTGATGATCTAAATTGCAGCGTGTATATATATATACACAGTTACACACACATATATATATATATACAACAAATATACGGAGTTTATATATGCTCATGGGTGACGGCAGTGCTCAAGATTGTTTCATCTGGGAAGATCAAGCATGGACGATGACGACCAATTCTGGTAACTCTGGAGAGAAATCCGGCCAATGTAAGTTACCAGGTTCCGGTACCTCCGATTGCCAGCTGCCGCCTACCGGGAGGAAGAGGCCTCGTGCGTCGGAAAGTAACGGTGACGGCGGCAGAGGTAAAGGAATTGAAGCAAAAAGTGGCGGCGGTGGAGGAGCTGAGTCTGATCATGAGGTACATATTTGGACGGAGAGAGAGAGGAGGAAGAAGATGAGGAGTATGTTCTCGAATCTCCATGCTTTGCTTCCTCAACTTCCTCCCAAGGTAATTGATTAATAAGATCGCGATAGATTATTGTCATTTAATTGCAATCAAACGAATTACGGATTTGGATCTATGTAATTAATACATTTTGCAGGCTGACAAATCCACCATTGTTGACGAAGCTGTGAACTACATCAAAACCCTACAACAGACTTTGCAGAAGCTGCAGAATCGAAAGCTGGAAATCCTCCATGGATTTAACTGCGGCAATCCATCGCCCTCCATTTTCGGCTCACAGAAACTCAACGCCGAGCTCACTACGAGGGAGGCGTTCCTGGCTGATCATCATCAAGGATCTTCCGGCGGCGGTCTCGCTTCCTTCATCGGATCATCATCCGCGGCGGACGCCCTGCTTCCGCCTCAGCCGCCGGCGTTCCAGACCTGGACTTCTCCGAATGTCATCCTGAATGTTTGCGGCGACGATGCTCAAATCAGTCTTTGCTGTCCTAAGAAGCCCGGCCTCTTTCCGGCCATTTGCTTCGTTCTGGAGAAGCATAAAATCGAGGTGGTTTCTGCTCAGGTTTCATCGGATCATCATCGCACCATGTATATGGTTCAAGCTCGTGCTAATAGGCCGCCGTGCGATGATCTATTCTCAGAAATGTCGGTTTCAGTGGAGGAGGTGTACAAACAGGCTGCCGGAGAGATCATGCTGTGGATAGCAAACCAGTATTGAACAATCCCATTGCTGTAAGAGGATCGGTTAATACAGCCAGAAATATATATACAGTAGAAATCAGGGATCGAAGTGTGGTTGTTTGCTTGTTTTGCTTGGACTACAAGCAGTAGTTTCCTTCTCTATCATGAAATCGACTCTTGGGCAAGGAGTTGTGTTATAATTAGTTCTTTCCTTGAAAAAATATTGTAGTTCGGGTATTGGATATTCGTGTTAAATTTTAAATTAAATTACCATTTTTTAGATCAAAAGGGATGAAAATTCTTGAAAAAAAAAAATTAATTTATATTAATTTATTAGTATCCTCTCCCATAACTTGGTGAATAAGTATTGCTATATTAATAAGAGCAATTACAATAGTGATTTGTGCTCAGTTTTTGAGAACTAACTTATGTGGGAGAGAGAAAGATTTGGGATTGCAAGGGATTGTGTTTGTGTAGGTTCCACAAGAGAGAGAAAGTGGAGAAGCCAGGCGCCGCCGGGCGCTTGCAAGTGTACATGCCGGCTAGCGCATTAACTGCGATGTTTTTCTTTCTTTTAGCGTCATGCTTTTTTTTTTCCCCGCTTTTTCTTTCTTTTCTTTCTCACATCTCTATCCTAATTGGCACCTAAAAAATTATTAAAAAATTATTCCTATTGAGGTTGCCCTAAGAGCATCCACGTTAGTTTAACCCCAATGCGGTTATTGAGGGGTTTTTGTAAGAGTGATTAGGAAAGAGAAAGAAATGTGGGAGAAAAAGAAAAATCAAATATAAAATATATTCTGACTTAAACAAAATTAAAAAAAATAAATCAAAGTCATTTTACGCACCTAGCGGCGCGTGCATTGCAGGAGCGCAGCAGGTGCGCGTTCCATTAATGCAATCATTTAATTTTTTTACTGAGCCCCACAATTATGCAATGCTTGCAGGAGAAATAACCCACCAAAATAACCCCTCCCATTCTAATTTAACCCCAATTTGAGTTATTTAATCTGACATAAACCCCCAAATATGCACCGATATAATGTTGCTCTAAGCGGTATATGATTCACTGTCGATTCATCATTTTACACTTTTACTCTAGTCTTTGTGAAGAAGTTTGCTAAATTGCTACTTTGTTATGCCCTCAATAGATATGGCTAACTACAACCTTCCAATTTTTGTTTAACATCTCCCTGTAAACGTCGGCGATATTTCGAGTGGGATAGTATGACAAATTGCTTCCTTTCAGACAATTCACAATTTCTTTTGAGGTGCTTTGAATAATTGCATGCATAAACTATTTTCCCATGCCCATCGAATACACTTAAGGGCATGCAGGCTGCAGCACGACTCTTACCCTCAACAACTAATTGCCATCCGAATATCTCAAAGACTCCCACAGACAACTGCTTTTTAAAAATTAAGTGTTGTCAATATTTGAGGAAATCCATGCATTATTAATTAGGTGGTTTAAATAGTATGAGTTGTTAGTATTTGATGAAATCCATGCATTATTAGGTGGTTTAAAAATTATGTGCTGTGATTATTTGAGGAAACTCATCCATTATTAATTAGGTGGTTTAAACACTATATAAAATGTGTTTCATTAGGTTGAGAAAGTAGTATATGAACAAATACTACATTGTAATAGAGTTAATAACATTCAAAAGAAAAATAATATATAAAATGTAGTATATATTTAGAAACTATATTACAAATACTATTAAACACACAAAAAAAAAAAAAAAAAAAAAAACATAAAATTATTACTGACGGTAAATAATGTTACCGGTAATAATAATATAACAACGCTATAAGAGAGTAACAATAGTTGTATTGCTTTTGTCTCAGTATAGAAAATACAGTGTCCCCTGCTCAGCTGAGGGAAGTTCTATTTATGCTAGGTCCTAACGGTAACAACATGAAGAGACATCCTTGGGGAGCCGAGCTAACGGCAAGAATATGAAGAGTCATGAATGAGGCGTTGAGGCTTTAACTCTCTCTCATCAATGGTGGCATCAAAGGTGGCTTCAATGACAATAAAGGTGACACCTGTTGGAATTCTAACCGTTGGAGTTCTGCCCGTTGGGTTCCCATGTGATGCTGAGTCAGATGCTCATTTGTGATCCGGGTCGGGTGCCAACCCCATTATCCTGTCAATTACAAAATAGTAAATAAAATAAGTAAGAAATAAATAGTTAGTTTGACCAATAAATAATAAATAACACAATCTGAGACGCGGTAGTATTTCAATACTAATTTTATTTAGACTTTAATACAAGGAAGTGTTCTCGCACGGAGTGTGCACAAACATGCCCATGGTCATGCACTTCACATTATTTAATTGAAGCTATATTTTAGCACGAATCTTGCATAATCGTGCACATTGTACCTTGTTTAGTATTTAATTGCACAATATTTTAGAAAATAACTAAATATTCATGATCTTATAGTCCAATAATATCAAGTTACTTCCTTAAGTGGAAGGTTATAGGATTGAGCTGACATTTGACCCTTACTCTGTTAGATTAGGGTGTAGGGACTATTGGAGTTGAGAATTCAATCTTTTAAGAAAAGAAAATAAAACTTCACAATAAATATTTATTCATGAAATAGATTTAGACATTTAATTACTTAGGCTGATAGAATTCAACAACGGGCTTATGTTTAAACAATCTTTTGTGGGCTTATGTTTCATTTGATTGGGCCAACAAGCTATTTGATCATTACATCAAGTCCACTCCTATGTATTTTTCTCTCCTAAATTCACTTCCTTATACTGTAAAAGAAAAAAAAAATGTGTTTATAGATTGACTAACTCCACTAACAGGGCGTTTGGTTGGAGGGATTTTAAATTCCCTTCCCACTTAATTCCCATCTAATTCCAAAGACTATTAAATTCCGTAGTTTGGTTGGAGAGAATTGCAATTCCCCCATTTTCATGGAATTAAAATCCCATGTCCCCCCCTGGTATTTTAATTCCTGGGAAAAAAAGATAGTGATGAGTCAAAATTACCTCTTCCTTTTTTAACCTAAAATTAATGTCTAACAATAATAATGGACATTTTTGACTTTATACTACTTATTCCCTTTCAATTCCCATGTATACCAAACATTGGAATTGGAATTCCTAGTAATTCTATTCCTATCAACCAAACACTGGAATTTAAATTCCCACTTTATTCCCAGTAATTCAACTCCCATGGAATTACAATTCTTTTCCCACATAATTCCCCCCTCCAACCAAACGCCCTGTAAGAGTTTAAACATCGATCTACTTTGATTTACAAAAAAAAGTCTTGAATTCGTAGTCGAGGGTAAAGCAATTCGCAGTTGCGACAATTGCCTGACTAACTCGATAGAGAATTGTCTCAAAAAAGAAATCGGTCTTGTTTGATAAATAGTTGTTAGTTGTTAGCTGATTGGGTTAATTAAAAAATATGACTAGTTGATAACATTAGTGGATTGTATAAATGTGTTTGGTAAATTATCTGTTAATTGATATGTGTTTGGTATAATTTCTTCTCAAAAAGCTAATTGAAAAAGTTATTTTGATGAGCTTTTTAAATTTTAGCTTTTTTGAAGTTACAAAAAACTAATTAACCAAACACTTATATTGATTTTTTAACCAATTCAAATAATTAATAGTAGTCAAATAAGTTAAAATTGACTGATAGAACCTCACCATCAGGGTTCAAAGGGTATATTAACCCAGTTGAGTATTTCAAAAAAAAAATAAAAAATTAACGTTTGAGTTTTTTATTTTTCCTATTTATATATTACCTTCCAATATTTGCGTCCATATATGATCTTGCAGCTTCCTAAAATTCTTTTTGTTCGTGTATTATTCCATGCACCTCCTTTGTTCTAACGGAACATAAAATGTGAGAATCAATCACTGTGTTAACCAACCCAAAATAATTTCTACTTGAAAAACAGAGACTAAAAAAGGGTGGGGGATAGGTATTTTAGAATACCTCTTTTTTAGTCTTTTCTTCTCCTTGGGGTACCAGTTTCGAACTCTGGACCTATGGGTTGGAGTTATCTTCCTCCAACCACCAGAGTCAAGAGGAACCGGTGTCCTATGGTCCTTAAATTTCTTTTTAATACCATCAAAGATCCCTATTGGTTGCTCTCAACTGGAGAGTGGGGATTACTTTGGCAAATTAGGATCCACACAACTGTGTGGACCACGGTCTAAAACATCATTGTGAATATTATGAGTAAAAATAATGTACAATACGTGTTTAGAATAATGAAACATCTTGGATAACATTACGTTGCGTAGTTAATGGAGAGGAGATCTTGTAGGGAATGGTAACACCATATTTTTTGGGAGAGGCTGGCGGCCACTTCGAGGTTTAATGTAGCATGACCATTATTGGTAATAGTATTATTGTGCCATGCTCATTTTTAGTCCTTTATCAACAAATTTGTTTAAATAACTTTAAACACGAAGACATTTTAATCTATTCAACTTACTAATCTTCTCAGTTCATCTTTCTTCTAATAAATCATCAACCTTGCAAATCAAATTTCAAATAAAAGGGGGATTTTAAGTTGTTTATGAAACAAGGAGCTTTATGTTCGAAATTAGGTCGGCAAGGTTGAGGATTTATTAAAACAAAGAAGAACTCAGAAGATGATAGGTTTAATAGCTCAAAATATCCTTATATTTAAAGTCATTTAAACATATTTATAATCAAATAAAAATATAATAACCAACTGCATAATGACGCACACTATATTGCACATGTGTTGCACAAATATGAAGGATAATTCATTTGTTTGTCCTAAATTTATAGTCATAATTCAATTTTAAACCATTTTTTTGTTCAATTCATCCCCGTTGGTCCTAGGCTCCTAAAGTAGAAACTGAATTACCTTTTTTTTTTTTTTTTTTTGTTGAACAATTAAATTTTACATGAATTTACAACATTGGTTAAATGACTACCCGAATTTATATGTTACGGAGTATATAACAGTATGATCAAAAGGGAACGACGTAGCTGCAATTGTAATCGTCTGAAATTGCAGTGAAGTCTTCCGGCCAACAATCGCGAAGCAGCTTCAGAAGCATTTGCGCTTTCCGTTTCGCCCGTTCTGTACAATCGCTTTGGACGAGCAGTAGCAACTGAGTCATCACGCCCGCCGCCGCCGCCTCTCGTTGAGCTTGTTCGGAGGCGGAGCATATCGAGAGAAGAGCTCCGGCTGCGTACTCAGTGGCCCGGTGCGAGATCTTCAGGATGATCTTCACGAGCAGAGGGACGGTCAATGCGTGGGCCGCGAACGCCGCACATCCGGATGGAATTCGGCATAGAAGCTCCACCGTAGCTAGCGCTCTCTCCGCGTCACACTTGTCGAAATCCTGCAACCTGTCTATCAACGCCTCCACTGCTCCGGCAGTCACCGCCTTGTGCCGGTATTGCTTTGCCAAACACAGTGCGAATAGTGCCTTGACTCCGATCTTCAAGGCTCTAGAATACGACAACGGACAATTGAGAATTCCGACGATTCCTTCGAAGATCTCATCGGCATTGCTGATTTGAGCTCTAAGCTCTGGCGATCTAGTTCCGGAGAGAACTGACTCTATCAATGCGGCGGAGTTCATTCGGACATCAACTGAAGGATTTGAGAGCAGAGACACAAGGTAACCAACTCGAACCGGATCGGAAGACACAATGACGGATTCAGCCTCCGGAAGGGGGAACATCGACAGAATGGCGAGTGACTCGTGACTCAGCTCAGGCGAGTTGGAATCCATGTTCGAGAACAAAATACAAAGCAGAACTTCCCGCGCGTTATTCGCTAAAATAACGGAACGGTTCTTATCCGATTCACAGGCAAGTCCTCTGAGTCTCCTCAGTGCAGAAAGCCTGGACCTCGAATGACTCTGCGTTGAAGACGCCTGGCTTAGCAAGGACCGGACCAAACCCGGTTCAGCCGGCTGTTTCGGGGTAGGAATCCGCTCAACTCCGAAAGCCCGGTTCGCCACACACCATTCCTGTATTAGCCGCCGGAGAGTATGGTTTGGAATCAAAGTAAAGTCCGTGAGCGGCGCTCTGGTTACCGGACACGTAGTATTCCCGGTAGCCACCCAGGACTCTATGCTTGCCCGATCATACGTCTGACCGGTACACACCGTCACCGGATCCCGCATCAGCTCCAAGGACACCGGACACCGGAAGTGATACGGGATCTGAATCCCAATATCCAGAGGGTCTAAGCTTCCAGGCATGCTTTCTTTACTCCCGTCTCTATATATCTCTGTGTTCCGTGTTTGTGTTTACTATAAAAAAAGAAAATATGAATCTGAAAAATTCTCTTTAGAACTTTATCGGGGGAAGGCAAGGGGTGGTATACGGATAGAGGAACAGAGGAGCATACCAAACAGGGCGTGGGGGCTTTTTCTCAGAGTTTCTGTTAGATATTGTTCTCTCTTTCCTGACTGTGCATGTAGGACTAGTATACTAGCTAGCTACCTCCCTCACGTGTGTATTATTTACTATATTTACGCCTGAAATGGACATATGCATTTAACCAGGGTTGGGTGAGAGGAGGAGAGTGGCGTTTGGTTGGTTGGTTGGTTGATTAGTCGAGAGCCGTGTGGTCAAAGCTAGTGTACTATTGGCCCCTCACGTAGTGGGACCCAATGCATGCTCAAATCCAACTCCTGTTTACGTCAATGGGGTATTAATGAATGGACATCTCCTCTATCATCATTTTCCAGGGTTGATGAATGATGATTGTGCATTATAGTTTAGGCACTCTTGACTTTGCATTTTAGTCCTTTTTCCCATAAACTTGGCAATCAAAGGCAAAATCTCCCACTCTTAGAAAAGACGTTTGGTTGGAAGGAATGAATTATGAAGGAATTGAATTGTAATTTAGTGGAAATAAAGTATAAATTTAAATTATATTATTTGGTGATGCTGAATAGAATTATTAGAAATGGGTAGAGAAAAAGTGGTATAAAGTCTAAAATATTCTTGTGTAATAATAATACTAATAATAATTAAGGGTTAAAAAGTCGTTTTCTTCATTTTTCTCTTCTCTTTCCTACTGAATTGAAATTCATATAGGGGATGATATGAATTGTAATTCAACAAAATGAGAGAATTTGAGTGGCCAAAGAATTGTGTTAAAGTCAAATATAATGGATTTTGAATGAATTAAATTATATTGATTTAGTTTTTCTTTAGGTGGAGAACTAATGCTTAATGCTTACAAAAAACTACTCCTACATGAGAGTGAAACTCACATGAATCCTATATTATTGGATGCAATATTCCACTTGAAAACCAATTTAGTTATCGCTTATCAATGAAGAAACTTTCGTAATCTCTATATAGGTTTATATTGTTTGGTTATACTAGTAATGTTAGCAATAAAGAGTAACTAATACTCTATTTTGTTATTTCTTTCACATCTCTCTTAATATTCATTTATAATGTAACATTTTTGTGACTGGTTATTTTTACAAAATTTAATTATTAAATAAAATTTTTAAATTTAGATCAATCAATTCATAAGCACCCACTAAACATAAAGAAGTATTATTATCACTTGAAATTAGAGGTAAATTTAGTATGAAAAAATAACATTATTCTTTTAAAAAGAAATAGGGGTGGGGTTCTATTACTTATGTTAGGGTGCCATTTTTGCATGAGCAACACAGATGAGTTTGAATTTGTATCGGAGAATTCGAGGTGGATACATTAAATTGAATTAAATGATGATAAAGCTAGGAAGTTTCGATGATGGGGGCCAGGCTTGCACCAACCATAAAACAGAGTTGCAAAAAGGGAATAAATGATCTTATTATCTGGATTTTATATATATATATTTTTTGAAAATATTTATTATCTGGATTATAGTCATTGCATTTGCTAAAATCAGTTACTATTAAAAGGTATACTTTTAAGTAAAGTCTACTTTATGATCTTAGTTAATAAAAAAATTGCTTTGTATAAATAAATAAATAAAATTATTTTCTATAATTTATAGTGATCTACTTAAATAGATAATTCAATTTATCTTACCTATAATTAAGTGGTTGAAATAGACATTAGTGTTTTAGTACCAGAAGCAGTAGATTAGTCCACCGAATTGAATTAGGTGCTGATTTTGGCTTGTACGGTGGGTCAGATCTTTTGCTGGCCAATATGGGTGGTCAAGGTCAAAGATGAACAGAGAGAATGTGAGGGGCCCCAGGTTGTCCCTCTCCCCAATCTCCCTATCGCATTATGATACATGAACCGTCCACTCTAAACCCTGACAACCTTTACGGTGAACATACTTGTGCGTGTACGTTTTAATTTATAGCCACCTTCTTCAAGTTTTGTATATGCAAATACGTCTGCTCCGTCCAAAAGAGGAGATAGAATGAATAGAGGGATCATTAACTCATCGGGGAAAGTATTGAGCGTGGGATTCGAAATAGGGAAATTTCCAAACTGGGATACCAATCAGGGAAAGTGCCTTTCCCTTAGGCGAAATTGATGTTTTGTAATTTCGCCTAAGTGTTTGGCAACATAAACATTAACGTATTTACAAAGCTATATACCGTATTAATTTAGTAATTGTGTATAATAATGCCGTGTTAACTGTATTAATTTAGTAATTTTGTATAATAATGCTGTATTAATTTTGTTCTCCTGTATAATAATGTTGTGTTGTTAATTAAATATTTAAATATAAAATTGTCGTGATATTTAGTAAAAAATTTATGAGTAGACAATAATACAAGTAAAAATAATAATTAAAAGTGAAACATAGGTACAGTATAATAAAATCATCGAAACGTGTAACAGGATTATTATTATACGTCTAAAGTGTATAGTTCACCATAGACATGGTCATTAATGAAATATTTAACCGACCATGGATAAATATTTTCAACATGACATGTACCAATGACCAACAGGAGAACACTGTTGTCCTCCAAACTGAATAAAACGACATCGTCCTCGGTTGTATTAATATTAAAATGTGTTGTTATTTCTTCCCACTGTTCTGTGAAAAAAGTTAACGATGTGTCAAAATATAGGTATAGCTTTCATGTTGAGATCTTGATAATTAATTTCTCTACTGCAATATTTTTTTGTTTAACAACATCAATCACAATAGCTAAATTATTTGAGGAGTTTGCATCAATTATTTATTCGTCCTTCTACTAATTAACATCAAATCAACAAAATAATCGAACACCTTAATTTATTTAATGTTTATTCTGCCTTTTTTTTTTCTAAAAAAATTGTAATACGATCGTTCAAACGTAAATACGTTAATTTAAACCTATAAATACATTGTTTTATAAGTAAATACGTTGATTGTTAAGTAAATACGACGTTAATACGTAAATACTGCACAAATACGGTGGTTCAACGTATTTCAAAAATAGACATGGAAATTGTCTTTCCCTTAGGCAACATACCAAAAGTACAATTTCGCCTAAGGGAAAAACAATTTCCCTCTTTTGTATCCCATGTTAGACATTTCCTTTTCAGGGAAACCATGTTCAAATTCTTCCTCACCGGCAAAATGACCCATGAATAGAGCATATAATCTTTGTATTTAAAAATCTTAAGTTTATTTTTTGTTAATATTATTTTAATCGAGTGAGTTTATTGTATGAATTTTTTAGTAAGTGATAAATTTTACTTAAGAATTGTTTTCAAGGTAAGGTATGTTTCGATTCTTACTATAAACATTAGAAGTATGGATTTAGATTTATTTTTTGTATGTAAAAGTGTACAGTTTGATATTAAGTTTTGAAATTAGATTAGTTCGACTTATGTGCTTATGGACTTAGAGTATGTTAATGAAGTTCAACATATAGGGGATGTTTGGTAAATAGTTGTTAACTGATTGGGTTAGTGAGTTTGAGTAGTTGATAGCATTAACTTATTATAGAAAGATGTTTGGTAAATTAGTTGGTAGCTGATAACTGATTACATGTAAAATGACTTTCTAAAAAAATTGATCGAAAGCTAATAATTTGTTACAAAAAGCTAATTAATAAAACACTTATATTGAATATTTAACTAAGTCAAACATGCACCTAAAAATGGTCAAATAAGTTAAAATTGACTGATAAAGTAACTATATTACCAAACAGGACTTACTTACTCCAAAATGATTAATTTCCAACCATAGGGGCCCTACACTCCGACCCGACAGAGCAAACAGGATTTACTTGCCGGTCCAGCTTGGTGTAGGCGTATAATGCTAATTAGAGTTATCAGAAAACAATGAGATATGAAGCATCGTCGCGTAGTGGGGAGTCGGTCTTGGCAACAGTGTGGTGCCAGGTACCGGACGACCCGGTTTGTCTGTAGTCAACCCGGCAAACTTGCCGGTACAGCTTCAACCATTGCTTCCCCAATGATGCACGTGTAGCTGGAGCACACTCCCGCCCACGTGCACCCAGCGGAGCACCCCGCACCGCTGCTGGGTACTTAGTAATTCATTATCCATATATATTATAGCTTGAACAGGGTGGAAAGTTGTCGATCTTGGGATATTGGGTTTTAATACGCGTATCTATAATGCTCCGCACGTTCAAAGCTTCAAAGAATGCGTGCCTGTTAATGGCTGTAATAAATGGAGTAATTAAAAGAGTACTGTTTTATGGAGAAAACGAATTTCTATAGTGATTGCAATGCTGAAAATAAGAAGGGTCCGAAAACTTTGAGTAGTTATGTGACTTCTTTTGTGCACTTTACAATCTATATTGAGGTGGCTCCCTACATGTTAATGTGATCACTAGATTTAGCACTCTTCACTATGAATCTAGAGTCAAAGCTGTTGATTCAAAGTGAAAGGGGTTTAATTGTTCAAACATGTTAAGATTGAGAAGTTACGATTAAACATGTCTATAGGGAGCAAAATTGAGTCACAGACTTAATGACAAAGTTAAAACGAGATGAGATTAACTGTTTCGGATTGAAGTATTGAACCCTTCTATTTGATTTTTTTTTTTTTTTTTTTTTTTTTTTTAAAACATGTAGTCAAACGCAACATCCTTTGGCCGGATTAGTAGCCAAAAGAAGTATTTTAGTACTAGAAAGTCACGAATTTGATTCTTATCAACACCTTCTTGATTAAACTCACCAAACAAAATGCAAATTTGATTCTTATCAACACCTTGGTTAAACTCATCAAACAAAATGCAACATTGCAAGTCCACAATATAATAAGAGTGTAAACAAAGAATTATAAAATATTAAAAAATCCCGTCAATATTCGGCAATGCCATTGCCAGACAAATTTTTTGTACAACTAGTCCCATATTATTTCGTTATACCTTGCAAGACAAGAAGAGTAAAATGCAATTTGGAAGTTTAGCTAGCACCAAGTTCACTACGTGGTAAAGATAGTAAAAAACCGAACATTTACAAAGCTTTAACAAACGTAAAACCATAAAGTTAACCATTGGTGGATCGGATTGGGCCAGTGAAACTTCGTGACTACGAACACTGTGAACTGCTTAAGACCCTCTCTATGGCCGCCACATAGAACTCCTTAGGCATGGTACCGATGACAGAACCACATTTCTCTCCATTGTTAAACAACAAGACTACCGGCACTGCCTTGATATCGTAATCCTCAGCAATTTGCAAGTCGGTATCTGCGTGGAGTACAAAGCATTTTATTCTTCCTGAATAATCAGTTGCGATTTCATCAATCACCCTGTGGACCATCTGGCAGGGGCCACACCAACTGGCATAAAACTCGACCAGTACAGGCACATCACTGCTCAGAACCAATTTGTTCCACGACTTACCGGTGACAACTGCAGCTGTAAATCACAAAACATGAAGCGAATATAATCAAGTTTTTAATGTATTCAGTTTTCATTAAGTATCCTGTCACAAGTGGTATTAAGAATAAAAATTCATATCCTCAGCAAAAGATACAACACACCTCTGCCAAAAATCTCAGTTACAAAAATAACAACCGAAGTTCAATGCTAAGTTGTCGCCTAGATGCTTTGAGGTCATGATCCGAGAATCATATTGATGGGTTGAATAGAGGAGGGCTAGCGATCGTCCTAGGTACAGCTAGAGGATCTGATCTCATTCCAGAGATTATGCCGTTTAGGGGAGCACTTTCCAAATTTCCTTGGTCAATCAAATCTATAATTAATGGCCCGTGATTTCCAAGATCACTTTCCTATTTTAGTCCAGCACTCGAATTAGAATCGGAGGCCTATAAATAATTAAATACCCTGAAGAAGGGTTTGTAAACGGTTCAAAATTTTTCATTCTCTAAGCAATAATAGCATTCTACTCTCTCCAATTTTCTTGAGTACTATATTCTTGTTTCCGATCGGTCGAGTTGGCTTACAACAGCTAAGGTAGTAAAACCAAACACATAAAACAAACAATATTCCATCATCTAACCTTTTCAAATCCCACTCTCCTCCACCAATTCTCAAGTTTTTAATCCTAAACTCAAGAATCAAAAACTCCAATAAGGCTATAGTGAAATTAAACATTTCACTAATTTGCAACATATTGCACACACACACACACACACACAGATATATATATATATATATATATATATATATATATATAAAATCACATAGCTTCACAAATCAGTCCAGTCTGAAAATATGCAAAAGTAAATATATAGAAGAAAAGAAGTAATAACAAATAGATATATGGCAATACATATTTATGACTTGTGAGTTTTGAAATAAGAGGATACCATCAAGATTCAAGGGATTTCCAAAGCCAGCTTATAGACAAAGAAGATTTGGTAAAAATAAAATAAAATAACATGACTGGAATTAAAGAGCCAACAATGTTTTAAGATCAAACCGCCAAATTTCCCAGAAATACATATATAGAAGTATTCATAACAGATTCCATCCTAAGCATACAGCAAGAGAGAACACTTAGCGGCCAAAAGAAATGACAACATAAACTCCAAATGATTCCATTTTCATATGCTTCAACCCTGACTGATGATCACTTCCATATTTAATTTCTTCCATTTTAACAAAACTAATTTTATGTTCAACGCATCCATACCAAAACAAAGGTGAATGAGTACAATCTCTCAATTAGGAGACCAACAAATTTCCAATTGCCTTTAGCAGGTCTGGGAAACTCACCAAGGAAAAATAATGTCCAATTGGAACCCATGCATAGCAATCTGGGACAGAAGAAAAGGGTATATATGGCTATTGTGCATCATGAATTTTACAAAGAGAAACAAGGCAATTATGCTACTGAGAAAGGTAAGGCAATCAAGTCAGCTAATCAACTTAAAATCACCGCAGGAAGTGTCATTAATTTTTCTACACAGCTGTGTTCCTATGTAATTTCACCATCTCTATTCCTCCATGTCTTTCCTTGCCACCCTTCAGCCTAAACAAGCAAATCCCTAGAAGTACCTAAAAACTGAACTTAAACAGAAGAGAAAAGGCTTCAAGTGTAACTCAGCAAATTTTTTGAAGTAGCCAATAAGCCATTTCTAGCCTAGGCGAGTTGATTATTGAATCAGACATTCAGACCACGATATATTTTACTCGGATCCAATTATGCACTGTTTGAAATTTGAAACCATGCAATATGATTTACAAATTCTGAGAAGCATAAATATCGGAAATCCGCAATCAGGTTCTAAATTACACACAGTATCAAGTGAGAGAGAGAGAGAGAGAGAGAGAGAGTGATCAGTTTCCAGACCTTTGGAGCCACGGAGACAAGATATGCGCAAATGGGAAGCAGATGGAGATTTCAAGCTCCTCTTGAGCTGTAATGGCAAAAGGAATCTGAGATTCACCTTCTGCGGGAAGTTGGACGGCAACGAACAGAGAGAGCGGTGGCGGAGAGGCGCCTGCGGGAGTGGTAAAGAGGAAGGAGTGGCATAACTCGAAGCCATTTTCAGTACGATCATCAGATTTCCAGAAATAGATCAATTCCCAGCAGTATTGAGTAGTGTTCTAGGGCGAACTCCGAAAGGAAGATCCACGATTTCCAGATACAATTTAAAAAATACTCAGAGAATCAGAGCGGAGGACGACGGTAATTCGGTAACGTGCTCCTTTTTTTTTTTTTTTTTTTTTTTTTTTTAATGACTACAAATATTGTAATTATTATTTAAAAATATACACGGGATAAATAATATTTTCATCTAATACGGAGTAGTTCACAAATTATATGGGAAATATAAATTACACTAAAAAAAAGTGTAACGAATTTGATTGTGATAGTTAAAAATGATTTTTAATATTATTGTACTAGAATCATACTACATTTATTATTTATCTCTATTAAAGCATAATGTGCTTATTTTGCTATTCAGATTCGAGGGGGTGAGTTATGAATCTATATTGGCTATGACAATTGGGATAAAGTTTGAATTTGTGTTAAATTCTTTGTACACAAAAGCAATAGTTATACTGTGAAACCGTGTTCATTATACTCACAATGAACACGGGATAGATCCATAATTTTTAAGTCATAGATTCATAATTTTTATACTGTAGATTCATAATATTTGTATTGCAAAGATGAAATAATGCGATTGTGAAGAGAGAAACGTTGTTAACAACAAATGAAAAACAAAATTATGAATTTACAGCATATAAATTATGAATCTACCCTTGTGTTCATCATGCGTATGGTAAACACGTTTTCAGAGCATAATTTGCGACATAAAAGTGTATAATTTAATGTTATATTTGTAAGTTAAATTGATTTGATTTATTTGAGTTTATGGAGTTCATCATTACTCTCGTGTGTGTCTTAGATTAGCCCATTTCTACTTCATTAACCCATCAGGCCACTAGCCCAGCCCAATAACATGTTTTTTAGCTGATTGGTTAGTAAAAATATGAAAATTCACGTTTATCTTTGTAATAAATTTATTTTTAAAAAAAAAAACAAAACAAAAACAAGATAGTTTTAAAAAATCATTGTCCATAATTTACAGAAATGGCAGTCTCAGATATATATATGCACAATGCTAGCTAGCTAGCTAGCTATAAGGGGAAGAACAAGATCTGAAATTCAGATCACAACAATTTTATACATGAAGAACATTGTCCAAATTAAACCTCCTAATCTAATTAGAGACTGACTTTGCACAAATCTTAAATTTATGCATCCATTCCACTCTATTACCAAGGCCCAGTAAGCGTCCTCTTCAAGCATCTTGGTTTACTTTCCCATGGCACAAACATTTTCTCCCTCATCTGTGGACAGACAGACACATCCAATATGAGCATCAAAACCCATACTCCATAAACAAGACTACAAGATTTATTTCATGAAAACAGATGCCCCAACGTTGTCTTTTTAAGGAACAAACACCTTTTCTTTTTTGTTCACTATCATGACATTTAGTATTCAGTAATCATATTAGACTTCGATTATATGGATTCACACACTGGATGGTACATGTAATGTAATGACATTGGTACTAAAGCTAACTTCAGTTAGATGCATTTTTACCTGATTTTTCCGCTTCTCCAGAAATTCAGCCTGTGGAAACACACATACACGAGTGATTATGGTCATTGTATTTTCAAAACAACCTTAGATTTGTTGGCTTCACAGACATACCTGTTTTTTCATCAGTTCTTGGTTGATTTCTTTAAGCTTTGCTACTTCCGCTTCCAACTCAAAGGTATAAGCCTGCCATGTTTATGCAATGGATGTTAATGCATGATAAAGGGGAACCAATAATTTTATTGGAGCCAGAAGAGAAAACTAGAATCTGCAACAAGTAATGCTTCATTTATGTAGATAACCTGCTTCCTGGCTCGTGATCTTGCAGCAGACTCTCTGTTTTTAATCATTCTCTTACGCCTCCGCTCCACTACCTTTTCTATAGAGTTACATGCTCTCCTCCCTCTCCCGCCTTCGTTAAATGCATAAGGCGAAGGGGATAGTGATGGCATGCCCAGATTACTGTTAAGAGCCACATCTGAAGACAATGGAATTCCAGGGGATCCTTCTCCTCTTCCTCCTCCTGCTGCTGCAGCCCCATTGCGGCGTAATCCTGCCATGCTATTCGCACTTCCTTGGATAAGTTCTCCCTGAACAGGATTAGTGTTATGTGGAGGACTTACCATTCCAAGAGCAGGACGCCTTGCTCCTGAGCTAGCCTGCTGAGGATTGTTTCCTAATTGCATTGGAGAGGCAAAGGCCAAGGTTGTCTGTTTAGGAAAAAGTGGTTGGTGAAGCTGAAGCTGTTGATGATGCTGCAAAGGTTGTTGCTGGGTAGATCTGGTGGCTCCTGCACTAAGCATTGGATTAGATGCACCAGGAATGGCTGCAGCACTGTTATTATCTGTGATTTGTTTTCCTGGTTCTTGAAATCCCATACTATTCAGCTGAGTCACACTGCTGCCAAATCCAACACTATTTGGAACCATTTCTTCTCTTACAACCCCTGCTTTGAACAAAAACTCTTCCAATGTCATTTCCCCCAAAGTAGATTGTCTTTGGCCAAAGCTTGATCCACCATAGCCACAATCTTTGGTGGCACCAGTGTCTTTCTGAAAGTCTTTCCACACTTCATCCACAGTTTTCTGACTGAGCGTCCTGGGCAGCGTTAGAGAGCCTTGTCTCTGCAAGTTCCCACCAGGGACACTACCATTATCTCCTGCACCAGCACAACATGCCTGGAACGGTTGAGATTCCTCGGCAGTCCAAATGCTCTTCAAAAGATCCTCCATATTCATAGACCCGAAATCCTTCCCAAGTCCACCAAATGTAGTCTGGAGCTCATCAAATGTCAACGAGTATATCGAAGATTGTCGAGCCAAAGGGAAATGACTGGCTGGCTTCCCTCCATTACCTTCTGGCTGTGGTGTCTCCACAAAGTTCTTAAAGTCCAAGTATGACCCCATTATCCAAGAAACAGATCACACAGCTGACAAAAAGTTTTAACAAATCCATTATCCAAATAAGATCTCAAATCATCATCATAATCTCTAATATGCAAGGAATTCAATCAGATAAACTGGCAATTGCCTGCACGAGCAGCTTAGTTGGTTCCTAGATGGGGTAAGGGCAAGATAAACTGGGAATTTCTCTTTGCTCACATTTTCCTCAAAATAAATTTTTTGCCTTAAATAGAAAGAACATAAAGAATTCAAAAATACACTCTGGGAATCAACATTGCATGTGAAGTTCTGCACACACATGACACACCACACTATATACTGCCTCCCACCAAACTCTGTCCACATCAAAACACAAACTTTTTTGCCATTATAACACAAGCAGTTAGATTAAGAAGATAAGTTAGATATTATGGTCCTTATGGGCAAATTCATAAACACGTCAAAGGCATGCCAAGTGCCAACTAGAATCTCCCTGTTAGATTTGACATCACTGAAGAAGAACCCAATTCAGCATAGAAAAAATGGAGAAAGCAATCCGCTTCAGAAACCACTAAATTAGAATCTCTATATCTCTCTCAAATCAGATTCCAAATGCATCTCGCTATATTCAAACCGAAATTCCAATGACTGATCTATATTCAGCTCATACATGAACTATATTTCTCATTTCAACTTTGTTTAACGTTAAATCCATTCTCTCCGCTAAAAACTTCAATCCATTTTCAGTCAACATCATCATTACGTGACCGGAACAATGATGAAAACCTAAAACCTTCTTCCATTGGCCCCCGAGGACAACGGAGCAGATAATACATAAAAATGAGAGAGAAATATCAAATATACAGTGGAAACTGAAAGGAGAAAGACGATCTTACCCTTTTAGAGAGAGAGAGAGGATGGGTGGAACAATCGTGACGGTTGCTTCTTCCTTCTTCTTCTTCTTCGCCGGCTGAGGCTTGGCGGAGCGGACAAGTGTTTAAGCCTTGTCTGGGACACGAGTCCACCCGGCTTTTTAAATACCGCAAAATAACGTCACGCTCACTTTCCCTCTGTTTTCTTTTTTAATTCGGATATAATACGTGGCGCCTCCAGCGTCCGCAACGTGGATCAATTGACGTCGACAGTGGGCTCTTGATGTGAACGCAGAACCAATGGGAGGGCGACAGGTTGGAGGATCTATACCGTTCATTCAGGCTTTTCCGACAAGGGCTACGTGTGAGATGTTAATTGGCATGCTGCTTGTAGATAGACAAAAGAGACATTTGAAGATTGATCGCACTGGGAATTGTGGGTACACGAATAATTGCACATGTACGCATTTTGTTTACGTTTTCAGGTTTTAATGTACGAGATTAACTAAAAAATGGTAGGCATTTAACACTATTTTAGGGAAATTGTATGTGGAGTTAAATTGATTATTGGGTGGGAGATTACATCAAAGATACATATATGAGTTTTTATAGTTACAATGTTATAGTTTATTCTTATGGAGTGAGATTTTGTAAATAAGACATTCATCTTTCTACATAAGACAATATTGAATTACTGTGATTTAATTATTTGTTCATAAAAGACGCATTTTTTTTTTTTTTTACCTCCGACCACACATCCCGACCCAACAAGATAGCATATGAGTAAATTACAATGACGTAACGACCGATTAAGTGGGAGTATCAGTACCTGATGCCTACAATAAACCCACCATATTGAGTTTAACCAGACACTATCATGACTCAGTAATGTATCATTAATCCTTACCTACAATTCATTCCATTATTAAGGGTCTATTTGGAAAGCAGAAAAATGACTTCTGAAAAATGAGTCATTTTTCATAAAACTTTTTCCTTTCCCGTGTTTGGTTGCATAGCATACAACTGTTTTTGTGCGTTTGGTTCATTTTATAAAAAAATGAGTAGAATTGTATAATTAAACATTTTAAATATTTTATTTAGAAAATGAAAATATTTATAATAATATTAAAAATGATATTATTTATATAACAAAAAAATAATAATAATAAAACTGTTTTTATGGTTTTCGTTGGGAACCTTGGTCTGAGTGTGAGGGAAAATGACTTTTGTCAAATTTTGGCTGAAGTCATTTTCCACTAAAATGACTAGATTTTTCACAATCAGAAAATATTTTTCGTTGACTGTATTTTTCAATTGCATCCAAACACTGAAAATTCGAAAAATGATTTCCAGAAATCATTTCCTGAGTTTTCAAACACAACATAAGGAATTAATTGAATTGTTTGTACTTTAACTCCTTAGAGCATGGATATCAGTGGATCTTTGGAAGATATTGGAACAGTACAGACACATTTGGTGGATATAGAGTGCAAGAGAGAGAAAAAAGATGAGTAACTGCAAGGCTAGAGTTATTTGCAGACATATGGGTCCACAGAAGAAAATTTACAGCTCGTAGGATAAATCCCAACCGATGTCGCCACGTGTGCTTTGCTTGATCGGAAAGTTACTTCCACCGCTTGCTCTTGCTCAAGTCGTCTTGACCGCTCCTTTCTTCCCGACCGCACCGCCCGACCCGTCACTTTCCTGATCCCTTTACCTTAGCGCCGGTGTTAGGAAGGAGACACGTGTCAGTGGTAAGTGTGACCAAAAAGCTAGTCCTATATGGTGACACGTAAGGAACGTGTGTATTACATGCCGACACCGAAGAATGCTATAAATACTAATCAAGGACCAGGATGAGGGGACTTTTGGGAAGATTAAAGATACCTGGTTCAGAGCTGCCCGACCGCCGTCAGTCGGCCCTCGTGCTAGGTTATTTAGACTACTCTTATGTCCACGTGTATTAACACTATCAACAGCCTTGCACGCTGTGCGTGAAGGTCACCAGTGCACCCAGCGGGCGCGTCAGGCGCGCTGACACAGCGTGCCTGATAGTGCTATTATTATTATTATTATTATTATTATTATTATTATATAAAATCAATTTTTTAAATTTTCTTTTATTTTTTCTCTCCCCTCCCATATTCTCTTTCATAATCACACTTACAAAAACTTCTAAAAAACCAAAAAAAAAATAATAATAAAAAACTCAACCATTGTGGATGTTCTTACAATCTCGAAAGCTAGAGATTTCAGCATTTGCGTTTAAAAAAAAAAAAAAAAAAAAAATCCGCCGAAAACCATAGCTATTATGGTTTTCGGCAGAAACCATACTTATGGTTTCCGTCGGAAACCTTGTTCTGAGTGTGAAGGAAAATGACTTTTGTCAAATTTTGGCTGAAGTCATTTTTCCGCCAAAATGACTAGACTTTTTCTAGTCAACGGAAAATGTTTTCCGTTGACTGTATTTTTCAATTACATCAAAATAAATCATTTTTTTGAGTTTCCAAACACAACCTAAGGAATCAACTGAATTGTTTGTTCTTAAACTCCTTATCAGTTGATCTTTGGGAGATATTGGAACAGTACATGCACATTTGGCGGAGAAAGAGTGCAAGAGAGAGAAGAAAGATGAGCAACTGCAATGATGGAGTTATTTACAGACATATGGGCCTCACAGACGAAAATGTACAGCCTTGCGTGTTGTGCGTGAAGGTCACCAGTGCGCCCAACTCACACAGCGCGTGTGACCTTTTTTTTATTACTTTTTTATATATAAAATTAGTTTAGTTTATTTTTTTTTTCTCATCTCATATTCTCTTTCCTAATTACACTTATAAAAACTTTTAAAAAATCACAAAAAAAACTTAACCATGGTAGATGCTCTTATAATCCTGAAAGTTAGAGATTTCAGCATTTGCGTTAAAAGTAATTAACAATATTAGGCATTGGCCCTTGGGTTTCGTTTGCTAATAATTTTAATTCTAGTAAAGCAAACACAGTACCATTGAATTGTACAGAGGGTGGAAAAGATGAATGGGCCTAGAGTCTAGATTAGAGGCTACCAAGCACTGCGAATATATGAACGTGCGCACGATGAATGCGCCATTCATATTGGTCTTTGGCTCTTTGCATATGGTGCAGCTTCCGCGTGAATGATTGACATGGACGTCTAAATTATCAGCTATGTCGTGTATCCACAATAGTACATGGACACGTTTCTAACCTCAGTTGGTTCACTTCTAACTTCTAAATATCCGTTTCATATATTTTTGTTGGATAATAAATGTGTAATATTATATGTATTTTATTTTTTACTCAGTATTTGATTAATTAAGATAATTTTTATTTATTTTATTTTATTTGTCCATCAAATCAATATATGTGATAAAAATTATATACTCTTTAATTAGACATGATTTTAATATATTAATGTGAGTGAGTAAGATTTGCGTCACACTCTTAGTCAACTAACTTCTGTTACTTTTTAAATTTTATGTTTCTACTTTTCAATCATATAAGATTTATTTTTTAGGAATCTTGAATAGTATTTGATAGTACTATAGAGCTTGGGCCAAAAGAGTTGAAATAATATGAGCCCACGAGCAAGGTTTTTGGGCTTAAATTGGATGAGAATGGAGTTTGGAGGTTGAATTGGATTGAGAAGTAAAGTTAACGGGGATGAAGTGCAAATACTTGATGAATGAGATCCAAACTAAATAATGGGAAAGGGTTTGGAGGACAAAGTGTGATAAGATATAACATGCAAGATGCCAAAGCGCAAAGCCTGTTAAAAGGAATGCTTGGGAACTGTTATCATTTTTTAGCTTTGTGGGCATCATTGCAAACTTGCAAGAAATATGACGATTAATAGGGAAACATGTGTGATTGTGGTTTGTTGGGTATCCTATCACACGGGTTTGCCTCAATCTTATGTCCTAAGGAGTATTGTAAAAGGGGGACCATGTCCCTTCCAAGGATCAACACATGCGTGTTCAGTTGTATTTTTCACCTAATCAGTAGTTGATCATGGGTTAGTATGGCTCGTTGACTTTCAAGCAAATCAACATGTCATTTGTTGGGCTTATATGCTAGGTCTTTTTGCATATGATTTGACTCCTTATTGTATTTATTCCATTTGTAGCCCATTTACAACATTTTAATAGCTTGGGCCCCTATTAATATATTATCATATTCTTCCTATTTATCTAATATTAATCTAATTTTATAGTGAACGTTGTTCATTAAAAATCATTAGTACTGAATACTTGTTAAATGATTGTCTTATAAAGTTGTAAATATGTTTTAAAATTTTAATAATTTTAATTTTTTACTTTTTATTTTTTGTTTGTATTATATTTATTCATGATATTAAGAAATTGATACTGATGTACTTAATGCCACAAGAAGTTGTGTATGAGCAAGGGAAAAACAACAAAGAATAGTAATTAATTAGAAACCAATTGACTGTTTATTACTTTCTCACAATTTTCTACTAAATATCTATTGTTAAATTTGTTTATAACAAACAAAGTGATCATCTCTCTTGATACTGGAGAGTTGATGTTGACTCCATTTCATTTATACACCAAAAAAAAAAGTATATATATTGTCATTAGCACATGTTATAACTTATAATGAGTTGACCTAGGTCACTATAGTCTAAGATTTGATTGTCCATTGTAATCTTTGTCACATGTTGGTTGGTTTATGTTCTAGGGAGTGGTTATGTATGTTCATTTCGTCAGATCTAAACACTGTTAATTTATTAGTCGAGTCTATCCTATTGAACTAGATTTCATAATCCCCTAAGTCCTTAATAAACTTATCAAACATAATTGAAACTAACAACTTTCAAATCTTAATTGTAAAATTCATTTAGGCCGAACTTATCACACATGATTTTTCCATGTAATATTACACATGGCACCTTTACCATTTATCTTCTTCTTCTTGTGAACCAAGCGGGAGAGAATCTAGCACAAGCGAG